GCTTTCCTAGGGGTTGTCCACTCCCATTCTCTCTACTGGGACTAGCTTAAGCTTACAACAACTACTGTAAGCTGCGTTGACTGTTTTTTCTCCACGACACTGCTCTCTTTTCCTTCATGTATATTTGGTAAGTGACCGCGTGTAGTTGAGTTTTATTTTTACGCACTGGACATCTAGATTACGTGCGTACCAACACCACACCGTCTTGGGAGAACTTTTAGCCAAACAAACGAGAAACGCAGTTGATGGTAAGATCGCCTCCACATACAAGACATTGGCAACATTTGTAACGTAATTCGTACAGTTTGGGGTGTCCAGAAAGCGTGTAGTTTGTTTGGCTAAACTTAAACCAGCGTGTTAGCATCATTAGAGAAAGTTTAAACGGCTAGTGTCTGGAAAATGGACTGGTCCGTATGAGTCATGCTTTCCAGTTCTCATCAGATTTCAACTGTGACCACTTTAATCTTTTGTGCCTTTTCAGATGTTCACCATGAACTGGCTGTATTCAATATGTAAAAGGGCCAAATTCAGGTAAGCGAAATTGTTCCCGTATTACTAGCACCGGTGGAGAAATAACAGGCGAAGAGTTTATGTAAACTAGATTGATTCCATTGAATTTGTATTATTAAATGATAATTAGGCTATATATTTGCATATCTTTTTTTAACAGAAGAATTAAAAATAGAATATTTCTGTTTTTTAATAGAATATTTTATGAATTTGCAATTTCAGGAAATATATTTGGCTACAGAATCACCATGAAATTATTATTTATTATAGATTAGGTTGTAGTAGAGTTGTTTCTTAGCAGTAAAACTAGTGGAAAGTATAGCTAGGAAAACCTTGAGTTTTTTAGACCAACTTCTAATTGCACAACAAGTTGAGATCCCTTCTTACTGTTTAACGGATTACACGTGCTATTTATCATAATTTCCTGGGAACATATTTTGTGTTAATAATTTAGCTTGTTTTTTGCAGCCACAAGAAGTGTTTGTGTTTCTTACCTTTCTTGGTCTGCGTCCTCTACTTCACTGTGTCGTCATTAAGGTAACCAAAAATCTTGTACACTAATGGTTTGAAAAATGATTCTTGTTTCTGTTCCAGATATTTGCAGAACCTGTAATTTTGTTTTATTGTTCTGTTAAGGGTAGTGATTGGAATTATTCCGATGGAGAAAATGTACCTTGAGGAGTGCAAAGATGCTCTCTATGGACAACCTCGTAGATGCTACCCTGAGTTTGCAGTAAGTGAGACCTCTGCAACACGCTTTCATTCTTCAGATTCCTTCTTAATATAATCACAAGATGCACAGTCTGCTTATCCCAACTGTGTTAGTCATAGGCTCACAAAAATAACATTAGCTCTAATAGAAGCAACGTAGGGAGTGCAGGGGTTGGTTAGGGTGACATAAGTATTCATATGGTTAGAATAGTGATATATTGCGTGTGTATCTTCTAGAATAATATAATCAATACTTGTAGCGATTTTTATCAACTTGCTGATTGTTAAAAGTCAGTGTCACCACAGTCACTGGTAAACATTCCAACCACCCCAGTGTGATCTCACTGCAAAGTATCAAAACAGGTTGGGCTTATCACAGTCTGTTTATGTCCACAACTAAATATTAAATAAATAAAATGTCTTTTCAGATCCAGAGGTGACGTCCAAACCTGCACTACGTGGAAAGCTCCAATCATTTGGGAAGGCATGTTTGAAGCATACCTTTACGACAAGGCTCATAAAAGGAAGAAGTCATCTGTGGCTGTCACTGTGTTCGCTGTTGGAAAGTGAGTAATATAGGTCAATGTTTAATTTAACCACAGGGCCTGCTGGTAAACCTTGAAACATAGAATGCATGCATACCGTATGCACATTTGTTTTTAGCTTGATTTTAAAGGAAACATACTTAAATGATGAAAACACCCCAAATTACAACCTGCGTGTAACCAAATGATCTCTAAAAAATGCACACACCTCCACCGTTTTTGTTTGCTTGTGTTTCAGATTCAAATTTGAAGTTGTGAGGCTCTGATTCCACTAGCACTGGATTACCTGTGTTTTTGTCAGTCCATGATTCGGTTAAAAATATAAAGTTAAGATTAAAAGAAGAAATAAGATCATTAGTTAAAAAGGATTTGTTACATAAAGATCTGACATTTAGCACAGCGTGTTTCTGATTACTTTCAGTAGGACAAGATGTTATCTTCTTACACGGAATGTGAACTAAATTTCTCTGACTTGCATTGCCTGTATTGTTTTACATAGATTGCTGAACAGTTTGTCTCTGTATCTCTAATAAATTCATTGTCTCATTTTAGGTACCTTGAAGCCTACCTGGAGACCTTCCTGTACTCCTCAGAACAGCACTTCATGTTGGGGCTCCCTGTCACCTACTATGTCTTCACGGACATGCCTGAAAAGGTCCCACACATTGTACTCGGCCCCAAACGGCATTTAAAAATCCTCAGTGTTCACCGTCATTCCCGCTGGCAGGATATTTCCATGATGAGAATGAAAACAATATCTGACATCATCCAGACAGAAATCCGCTACAATTTTACCCATGTTTTTTGCTTTGATGTTGATCAAAAGTTCACTGGGAGATTCGGTTCGGAGGCGCTGGGCGATTCTGTGGCTCTCATCCACGCGTACTACTACCGATTGCCCAAATCCATGTATACCTATGACCGCAATCCCAACTCAAAAGCTTACATGGAGACTGGAGATTTCTACTATCATGCTGCTGTCTTTGGAGGTACATGGAAAAACGTTAAAGCTGTTACTGATGCGTGTTACAAGGGCATCATGGAGGACAAAGAGAACAATGTAGAGGCACTATGGCATGATGAAAGCCATCTTAATAAGTATTTTTGGCTGAATAAACCAAGTAGACTGCTCTCCCCTGAATACTGCTGGGATGACAGTATTGGATACAGGACTGACATACGAGTGAAGAGGCTACTATGGGCACCTAAAGACTACGAAAACCTCAGGACAAATAATTAAATGTAAGAATGAGAAAAGTATTTTGCACTTTATGGACACTCACTGCTACTTATCAGGGGCATTGCTACTGTTTACTATTGTGTAGCTGGAAACTATCTATTAAGGGACACGAAGTGCGTAATAATGGGACATTAATGGGACAGTATATAACTTTTCCATCTGAGGGCCAGCCAACTGCTCATCACCATGGAAATGTTAGAGAATGTTCCACAACATGACATCTTCATGGGTACAAGCAGGTGAAGTAACGGGTAGGATCTGTGGTGAGGTGAGCCCGGTGACAGATGACGTAAAACTGACTTGCAAGGTCAGTAGGTGTACTGCTATACTGTGCAAGATTCCAGAGAACAATATGTTATCTTTGTGGAGACAAGCAACTGGCAGTTACGCCAGACCAGAAAAGCTACCTTTACAGGAAGTTGTGTATTTCTTCACTGTGCACTTCAAAAATATTTCACAAAAACAAAAAATGAAGAAGTAAGGTGACAAAAACATTGGTGTCTTGTCTGACAGAATACTGAATGTGCAAATTTCTGTATTTTCTGTTAAAATACAATCCAAATTATGTAACTGCTCAGTGAAGAAGTAACATTATGATAAAAAACATATTGTGCAAGTAAAACTGTCTTACTGCTCGTCTTTGGTACTGGTAAGTAACAAAGAACTGGATTATAGTAAAGCACACATTTTGGAACAGAACAATGCCTCAAAAATCTGTTACTAGTTCAGATTTTTTTAGGGGCAGGCCAAATATTTATGTTTTTTAACAGAGATTATATTTCTAATTTCTTCTTTTAAAATCAAGAATCAGTTCAAAATAAAAATGTAAGAATTTTTACTTCACTTGAAAGAAGACTGGAATTACTAAACTACAAGGTTAGCAAGTTTTGTAGAATAGACAGCAGCATCTGTCAGTGGCTAATGGTTAAATATGTTGCAAAATTCTTACAAATTCTTTATAGTTATCTCATATCGCTACATAAACATAGTCAATCTTTAGTCGAGACACTTGGCAGAAGAATAAAAAGACAAAAAAGTAAAACAAATCTAAAATGCACAGGTGCACATTGTAGCTTTTTTGGTGGAGGCTTTGTCACCCACTTGTCTCATTAAAACATTATTGCTTAACCTGGAATGTTCCACAGTATCGTACAACTGTATCTATCTTTCATGTATTCATATTACTGGTATTATTACTGCCAACACTTGGTTTGGTGGAGTCTTCATGGTAGTTTTATTCAATTTTATAAAATATCCCAGGAAAAGGAAGACTTGCTTAGTGAATCATGTGTTGCCAATTGATATTTTGCAGTGACGTCAGGCAGACGGTGTTCTACATGTATTGTATATCTCTGGTGAAATGTTCAGCAATAACCATGGTGACACAATGTAACAATAGCAAACACAGACAAAAAAGTGTTACAATTGTCAAAAAAAACAAAAACAAAGGCCTACAAAATGGATTTAAACAGCACATTTTCAGGAGCCTGTAATCATACATGGTTCTGTATGGTCAGATTGCGTTAAAACAGAGTTCAGATTAAAAGTTAACTTGAGTAACAGAGCTTCAGATAGAGTAGTATGTTCAAATAGCAACACACCCCCAGGGAATGCTGATGATACCTGCTGCAAAGTACCAATAGAAATTTACAGTAGTATAATAATGAAACATATTGTTGTTGCCAAATTGCCACAGTGGCCCTTGAGTGAAACCCAAATCCACTCTTCCTTTCAATTCCTTTCTTTGTTGCACTTATACTTGCACTGTAGTAGTACCAAGAAGTAATCTGCATAATTTATTTGCCAAATATTCTCTGCGTCTGCAACTGCATATGTGTTTGTTGAATACCTCAGGTAAAATAAACAAATGCACTGAGTCACACAATGTTGAGTTTTACAGAGATCTTTTGAAATAATTTTTGTTCCTACTTTTCTGTCCTAAATAGTGTTTTTGTTGATAACTATGTTGTGTGTGTTCAAAGGAATCATGTTTTTTTCTGTGCATATGACAAATTAGACTACTAATGGAACCAACAGTTGAAGACATACATAGCGGTATTATGTTTTATAAGTTATAGCTACATCTTAATTTCTACACAAATTGCCACTTAACCTCAGGTACTATCCCACCAAACCAAAAAATATGATAATCTGTCAAATGCACTTTAAGGATGTTTCAGTAATTTTCAATATTTGTTCTTGTTGTGGATGGTTTTAATGTCTATTATAAAAAGTGCACGGATTTAAATAAAATTGTCAGTAAAATTCACAAATAACTTGTCACTGTTGTCGAAAAAAATAGAGAGAGAGACAGAGACAGACAGAGACAGATACACTACCAGTTTGGATACACCACCTCACTCATTGTTCTTTATTTTTACAACAAATATATGAAATACGGTATATGGAATTATGTAGTAAAAAAAAGTTGAATAACTAGTAAATATTTTTTGACAAAGCATAATTTTTTAAAAAGAATAGTAGTTTTTTATCTTTGCTACATAATTCCATATATCTTACTTCATATATTTGATATATTCTGTATGTAGATAAAATGTAGAAAGTAAAAAAAAACTTGATTGAGAGGTGTGTACAAATTTTTTTGACTGGTAGCGTATTTCTCTGGGTTCTCTGCTTTTAATGATTATGTAACATGCAGCCAAATCCTCAACGCTTCATTGACCTTCTATTTCAGTTTTAACTCACTACACCACTCTGAACAAATTGGGAAGCACTGACACTGGAGCTGCTTAGAAAGAGTATCTGTGCTAAATATTGTGGGACATCTCAATATTGTATCAAATATAAAATGAAAGGGTAGAGTCTGTCTCTACTTTATACCAAATGTTTATTACTCTCCTGGAAGATGCCTAGTCAGGCATGAAGACAAGATGGGTAAGTGTAAAAAAAAGTCATACTGTGGAACACTCTAAACTAATCAGTAACATCTCCAGTGTGACAATCATTTTGATTTTGTCTCTTAAGAACAGGTGTATGAAGTGAGTTCCTATGTGCTCTATTATTGACTCTTCTGGTAAGTAAACACCCATAGATGTTTTTCTGGTGAAACAGGTTCCACTTTTTCTTGACTGCAGCCCTCCAATTCCTGTTTATCCATTCCTGAAAATATGTTTTTGATGTTACTAAACCAAAGTGAACAGAGGCAACATTAACTTATAATAAGTGAATAATTAATTACTAAATTAATTACTAAACTGGCATCAATGTAGGATTACACTGTGTCTGTTAAGTGTTATATAACAGAATTACTAAATAAGGACTATGTTAGATTTTTTATTTTGGAGCGGAGATACGCATTGCTATTAGCTGCGTGTGCCTGCTGGCGTTTGTGAGCACTCCAGAGATGGGAGAGAGATGTGCCGTGAGAGAGAGTGAGAGAGAGGGCAAAAGAGCTACAGAGACATCTCAAATCAAGTTATTATTTTAATGTTTAAGCTGCTGATACCACTGCAAAACATGGGACATTTCAGCACAGTATTGAAGTTTGACATCCTCTCAGACTAAGAAAACAGTCAGCTCAATAAAATAATAAAGACCTCTTTTTTTTTTTTTTTTTTTTTATAATTATAAAATTCTTAGGGATTGTGCAATCAAAACTGCACATAGGCTCAGGGAATGTGCAATTAAAACTACACATAGGCTTAAGGAATGTGCAATCAAAACTGCACATAGGCTGAGGGAATGTGCAATAATTAAATCTGCACATAGGCTAAGGGAATGTGCAATTAAAACTGCACGTAGGCTTAGGGAATGTGCAATAATAGAAAAGAAGAATGCAAGGACTTGCCTGTTAAGAATAGTTTAAAGGTCCTGTTGGTGCATCACTCCTGGTCACACTTGGTCTCATATTTACTTTGTTCTATGGTGTTTGTTTAAGTGCTGCTTTGTGTTGTGTTGTCCTGTTTTTTGATAAAGCATGTATCCCCTGTCCCAAGACAAATTTCTCCCATGGGAGACAATAAAGGATTATTTTATTTTATCTTAATTTTAAGGGGGGGTGCTGAAAATATTTTAGGGTCTAGATTCGCCCCTGGCTTAGATTAAGTCTAACTTCAGTAACAGAGCTTCTGACAGACTAATGCTTTCAGTTCGTTTCACACTCCCAGGGAATATTGATGACATCAGCTGCAAAGTGTCAATACTGGAGGTTTTATATTTTAAATTACAGGAAAATAAAATAGAACGGTATTTAAAAATTATGAAAATGGTTATATACAAGTTTTAAAAGAAACAAGATTTAATAAAAATAAATAAACATTTTATACATCATCTTTACAAGTACGTATACAATAGTGTTGCTGATTTTCACACATTTTCATTGCTCGCTTGCAGTCTTCCTCAGCTTGGTCATGTGACTTTGCTCTGAAACTGTCACTTATGAAACTAAAACCTGGTCTGACTTTTCCCTGAATAATTTTAGAAAGCTCTCTAGATTAGAACTAGTAAAACACCACATGGTAACATTAAACAAACTGTGTGTTTTCTGTTAAAAATTACATTCTATAGTAACTGTTAAAAATAAATAGTGCTTTTAATCAATGGGTATCACAATTAATGCGACATATCAAGCTTTTTCACAAGTAATAAAATCCAGTTCAAATTTTTAGTGAAGGACACTGGGGCATGTTGTTGCACTTTTTTCTTTCCTGTCTTTGTCTCTGAAATCGAATGATAGAAATGTATCTGTACCAAAGGAAAGCGCAATATGTCACACACACAGTTCAAAAACAGGCTTGGATGGCTGTGAAAAGATGCCATACATTTTCTTTATTATGAGAATTGTATTTTCTAGCATAGGATTTAAAATAATTGTTTGTACCAAATCTACCAAATCCTGTAAAGTGTGTTTTAGTGCTCATTTCTCTGTTGTAAAATGCATTCAGTGTGACTAGAGAAATCTGATTGTTTATAGGTGAACATTATCCATTGATTTGGGTGATGTTTGTTTTTACAAACAACTTGCCCCATTATGATTGTGACAACTTGCCTCAAAAAGTCCCCAAGTGCACTTCTCTGGGCTGTGGCTAAACTCACCTTTATCTAATCCATTGACCTGATTATTACATAAAAGTTACATTTGTTAATAAATATTTAATATGTATTTGCTACTGCTGCTTTTGAAAAACAGCTACACATGCAGGGTGAAAACTTAACCAGTGTGTCAACATGCCCCGGTCTCCCTTACTGTCATAACATAACACAAACACTTAGAAATTTGTAGGATTTCGTTTTAGTGCCATAAAAGACAATAAATTGTTTGTAAAGCAGGGGCTTTTTTTGTTTGTTTGTTTTCTTTTTAACCATTCTTGTATTTATTTTTTTATGTATTGGATGTAGACAATTGAAAATAAGTTGATTGTCTTATGAGTCAGTGGTGTTGAGGACAAAGTGACCGTTGGTCGAGGTTCAGGTTGAGATTGAGGTAGCACAGTTCACCAGGTCGAGCTAAACCAGAGCGGCGGCGACCAAGTCTCTGCACCCGACAGGAAACTACACGTTTCACACGTCACATCTGGTAACTTCAAACTGCAGCGAAGGAAATATCAAAGTGAGAAAAGCTCATTCAAAATAACTTTGTAAACATTCATTAAGTTATTTGAAATGCATCTAATGCTGAATAAATTTAAAAGGTGCACCATGTAACTTTTTGGTGGAGTGTAAGCCACCTGATTTTCTCCATGGTGATGTTGCTTTGTTGAGAATTTTACACAGTTATCTCAGGCAAGTTACTGGTCAGATATGTGGAGAGGTGACTGTGCACAGTCAGAATGGAAGTATTTGAATGTGAATATATGTACATAACCAGCACACTTTTCAGCACACTTTTTCATTTATGTTGCTTTTTGATTCTCACTGATGGAATGATGTGGACACATATGGAATTTAACAAACAAAATTAAACTCAAAATAAGTCAAAACTTATTTTAAAAAATAAAATAATGAAAATAGCCACTGTTGGGCATTTATTGGCCCTGATTTTGACTGGTAGTGTATGTATTTTTGAGAAGTTGGGTACCGACTTTTCTCAAATAAAGAAAATACATTCCAGGCAACACAACAATAACTCCACAGAAACAAGAAAGTGGATCTCTCACCAGAAATGTTGCATAAAGCACCTTTAAATCAGAATCACATTTACAACATCAACATTTTGGCATAAGACAGTATTAAAAGGTAACCTGTTTTTAAATAAAGACATTACTTAATTCCTTATCCAATTCACCCATTCATTGTTTAAATAATGTAAACAAAAGAAGAGCTGTTATGGCAGTTTTAGGTGCATTTAAAGATTAATATTGCGTAACTAAACTTTTCACAAATAAGATTATCAGATACATTTAAAAAAATGTAAAAACATGACAGAATCTCTGATCTGAAAAAGTACCTCACACATGTAAATTCTTTAACAGCTTCATTTGACCAATCCTTTGTGTTACTGGCGTCATCTATTTGCAGCATTGGGTCTGGACCTTGGTGGCCAGGAGCGCCTACCTGGAGGATCAGACTTACCTGGAGGTTTGTGCAGGAAGTTGAGTTAGTATCTTTTGAAGATCACAGGTATTCTTCAGCTCCTAATGGAAACCAAATGTGTCTAGTTTACGACATATCACAATATAATCAATAATCAAATATCAATATTTTGGAACATTTCAATGGAAATAGATAAGTTTTATACCATACTGTTTAATAATATAGGCAAAGGAACAACATTCCCATGGAAAAAGTAGGAGAAAGCTACTCCAGAACAAGTAGGAGTAAGGTTTGTGGATATGCAAGCCCACTCAGATAAAAAAAAAAAAAACAATTTAGTACAATAAAAATATCCATTGTTTCACATTGTCCACCTGTTTATATAATCAAATAAGAGCTAATTAAACACATGAATAAATTATGACAAATAAATAAATATATTTGCTCAACAGTCCTGCCCACTCTGAAGTCCACTCCGGGTCTAGAAGAAAATATTCCATTCATTTTTCCTATAGACTTTTCGGAAAATTTCACTATCAAGACTTCAAAGACATTGCGCAGGCTAACCAGCTACATGATAACTAATATCCATAACTCGGTTGCTTTAAGTCCAAAAAGCAGATTCACAATGCAAGATTCAGCGAAATTTTAATAACCTGATAGTTTATTATGTTTCAGAAACAGATTTTAAATCAAATTACTGGTTTTGTGATCATTGGTTACCACAAAGCTGATTATGCTTGAACAAGTTTTTGAACTTTTGATTTTGATTTACATTTTTTTTTCTGAAAGTTTATGGGTAAAATTAATGAGAAATGTACTTCCAGAACCGGAAATGGATGGTCACTGCTTACCTCAGCTGCTCTCAGAGACTTGATGGTCCGTAGTGAGCGTTCCATCGACATGATCTGATTGGACAAGTCGACTACTCTGTTTTGTAGTGTTCTGTTCTCTATTTCCAGAAGATCGGTCCTAAATTTGACAAAATACGACTTAAAGATATGCATGACATAGTCCTAATGTAGGTCAAATACTGACTGTTACCTATTTTGAAGTGCAAAGTGGACGTGTTTCTTATTGTTGTTGAGCTCTTCGTTCAGCTCCTGCACCAGTCGCCTCCTCTCAATAAGGAGTTTATCATTTTCCATCATTACATTCATATTGAATTCCTTTTCCTGTTAAGAGAGTTTATATTTGTGTAATTTGAGGCCAATCTGTATCCAGGGAGTATTTTGAAGTACACTATAAAATACACTTTTAGATGTAAAAGTACTAAAACCAATATTCTAAATATAAGTAGTAAGCAGTGTTTTAGACACAACTTAGGTTTCACTAATGATATTATCAGGTAAATCAAACAAACTCACAAATGTGTAAACTTATTAAATGAAAGTGAAAATTCATTAATATAATGAGTTATGTTAATAACCCATCTTTCCTCATATGTGTTAGTAGTATATGTAGTATGGATGTGTTCTTGGATTCAAGAGTGATGAAAAAAGATCTCTGTTACTATAGCAATTAACAATTCAAAACACAATGTTCTTTTGAATTGTGAAAAGTCCTCAAACAAACAGAAAGCTGTCTAGGTGCCATTTTAAGTACTTTTCTAACTACAGAATATTTAATATTGAAATGTTACTTGCTGTGGCAACAGTGATCATTTTCTCATACTCTGAAAGCCATGGATACAGTATATTGTTGTTATACAAGTATTACCATGGTTAAAGCATGTGAGCACAGGGACAACTCTCTCTCTAACTCCTCCATCTTCTCATCCCGCCATTTCATCTCATCTTTCAGTTTAAGTTTAACAGAACGCACTTTGAGTTGAAGTCTTTCCTGCATCTCCTGGTATTTCCTGAAACAGACACATTTTTAAGACACATCATAAAAATATATGAGCACTGATTTCTTCATAAAGTTAATTTTTACTTTCGTTCTTGGTCGAAGGATTTCAGAGTTTCACAGATCTCTTTCTTCAGTAATTTACACATATCTTTGGAGCATATTGAATCACAATTGTCCTGCTAAAAAGTAACATATTACATTAAAGACGCACTGTGTAACTTTTCAGGTGAAGGGTCCATCACCTGCTTGTCTCCTTGAAGATGTTATTACTCCACAAATGTTTCACAGAATGCCATTAACTATCTAGCAGTTAGCGCCACCAGACCAACTTGCACTTCAGATCTGTGGAAAATGGACCCACTCACAGAGGAAAGAAAGCAATAAAATCACATCTAACTGAATACATGCAAAACAGATTTCAGTTTTAATGTCATACTATGGAACATTCAGGGCACATAACATCTCCATGGAGAAATGCATGAAGCAGACCTTCCACCAGAAAAGTCACAGTCCAAGTATGTTTCTATAAAATAGTTTGTTTACCTTGTCTACTTCATTTTGATGGTTTTCTGGTGACTGCTGATAATTGGCTGACCCATCCAGCTGCCTGTGAATGATGTTAAATCCACAAATGATCAGATATATGAGACTGACAAAAGTTTATAAAACTTGTACACAGTGAAATGGAAGTAATTATTTTTTTCATGAATTTGATCTGATACAGTTCTGTGCTGTGTTTAAAAGCAACATTTCAATCAAAGAATATTTTTTAGATTTTATTTGTAATTATAATTGTATAAATGTATTCTTGAATTTGTATTTATGTCGCATACATTTATAGCTTTAATTTCTATAGCTGGTCTTTGCTACTGGATGAATTTGAATCTTGACATTCATGAAAAATGTGGTATGTAAAAATATATACCAGTTACCATTTAATATCAACATTTAAGACATTAATTATGTAATTGTGATGGCATTACATGTATTTAATTCTTATTCATCTATTTTTTGTAATTGGTCTTTGCATGGTTTCTTTCTGCTATGTCTTGCATGTGTGTTTGACTTACATTTCCAGGTGCTTGTTATCCCTTTGACAATTTTCCAACTCCAGCTTCAGAGCCTCTATCTAAAACACAGAAATACCCTTAAAGACTGTGAAAAACTAAATGCTTTTCATATTATAAATCATTCATACAAAGCAAAGGAGAAATTCTATACTGTCAGTTGGACAAAAGTTTTTGATCAAATACGCTTCACAGCTCATCCAAGCTGCTTCCTCAGTTCAGAACTGAACATTTTGTATTGAATATGGTGAATCTCCTCGTTTTCAAATGGATGTGACTGACAGGTAGATTAGCCAATCAGGGACATACACGGTCTGTCCGTATCGAAAAAAAATAAAGGAAAAAAATTTCGGCAGGATCAGTGAGTGAAGCACATTACATGACCAATGACCAATTTGTTTCACATGCGTCACTGAAAAATCTGATTGCCCCATCACATTTGATCACACTTGAGATGCAGCAGAAGGAGTGGGGACCAGACTGATATGAATCTGTATAAAAATACAAACGGACATTGTTCTGGACTGGCCAGGAAAGTATCGCTGTAGCCCCTACCTCTGATTCTTGTTCCAGTAATCGTTCCATCTGAGAATCAATTTGTCCTTGTAACTTTATGTTTACTTCATTGTTTCGATTCACTTCAGCTTCTAGGACCTGGATAGAGTAAGATAAAGCAACACAGTGTAACCTTATTAAAAGAGCAAGCAAGAAAATCTACATTTTTTATTCTTTTCAAATATATTTAACAAACTAAGATACTACTAACTTTACTACTCACTTTATTTAACGCTCTGGCCTCCCCAGCTTTAGCCTGCTGTTCCTCTAGAGCAATATGCAACTTCTCCACCTCTGTTTCAAGAACTGTGACCTAGAAAAGCAATACAATAGTTCAGTGTACATTCTAACAGAAAGATCAGAAAATAGTGTAATATGGGCCCTTTAATGTAGCCCTTACCTCTTCAGGCTTTGAAGGTGGGTCAGTCTGAACCTGCACTGTTTGAAACTTCTTCTGGAAAAATAATTTATGATGAGAGATATTGTGAGAAAGAAATATAGGAACATTCAGATATTTTTTTAACCACCAGCTCCCCCTTCTGTTGCGAGCCTCCCTCTGCCTCTAAGGTCTGCACTCTGTTTCGTAAACGCTGGATCTGACAGTCCAGACGGTCGTTCGTCTCTTTGGCTTTTCTCAGACCCTTCATCTCTGCAGGAAGACAGAATAACATTATATTTAGGACAAACATTTATATAGTTTCAGCCTTTAAATGTAAGCATGCTGTCTTCCTTTTCAAGATTATATGGATCCTATAATTAAATGTAGTTCAAATGTTTCATATAAATCCAATATACTGAACCAGCTCTAAATTTTTTCACATCAACCAAATACCACCTAAGTTTACATGCAAGTATTGCACATAAATAACATCAAAACTGAAACTAAACTTGGAACTGGATCTGATCAGTATATTAATATTACAAATTACAATTATACAAAACAAACTAAGGGTTACCATATTTCTTGATTTGTTCAACTTCCTGTCTCAGTTCATCCACTTCGTGCTTTGCAGCTTGCAGTTCAGGCTCTGAATTGACAAAGAATAGTTTTGCTAATATATTTTTAAATGGTTACTTTTTTCTATTTATTTTAGTTGGCATAATACTAAACACAATGCTAAATGTGATCCGTGGGTACATTTACACAATTAGGCCATGACTATGTGTAATCAAAAGTTATATTTTTTATAAAATTCGACTTTACTTGAACACAGTATCGAACACATTACAATATATTCATTAAGACAAAAATATTGGTAATTAAAATCTGAATAATTAAAGTGCCAAAACAGCAACTTAAATATAGATAGATTACTGTATTGGCTTTGTCACTATTTTGTCTCTAAACTCACAGTTGGGTATTTAGTTTTTCACAGATATGTAATCAGAAGCCAGTCAATATGTTTGTAATGGTATTTGCTCACCATAGGCCCTCTGAATCTTTTGCGCAGACTCCAGCTCATTTGTCAAACGCCGGATTTCATTGTGCGCCATGGCCAGTCGCTTGGATCCCTCCTCCAAATCTCGTTCGAGTCGATAACACTCTTTCTGGAAACTGTTTGTTTGTTCTGTCAAATGTCTAGACTCAGCCTAAAAATAAAAACACAAAAAAGTTACTAGAAAAGATAAACAACTTTGCCTCAAATATAGGTTTAATTTGTTACCTTTACATTTGACTTGCTAAATAGTTATGTTTTGAGCTAATACCCTACTTTCTGTTAGTAACATAGTTTTTACTGTCAAGTCTACTGCAAGAAATCAAGCTGGTGTGTAGATGCATTCAAATAAAAATATAGATTGCACCTTTGATGGCTATGGTGCTACTTTTGAATATGGATTTAGTCCCATCTAGTGGTCAGGTATCAGACTTGCACTTACATTTCCTCTGTTGCTGTGTGGACTAAAATAGAAAGTTGAATCAAAGTAAATTATTGTTTATACTAACATTAAGCCAAGTTTCCTTTTTAATTAGTCACTATGGAAACAGGTCTAATCTGTATTTTGACTATACATGTAATACATTAGTTATCATATGAATTCTACAGTTTACAATCTACAAAACATGAAACTAAATCCCTATAAATGTGTTTTTAGCATGTGTTCTTGAAAAAATATTAAAATATAGATTACATACTTACAGGAATAAGCAGATATTTCTGATTTTTATGGAGTCCCAAGAGCTTTTTCCAAGGGCTTTGGCTGTGGCGCAGTGCCCGCTTGTGGGTAGTCTAGAATAAGTTGATTCACACAATGAATTAACTTACAACTTTCACTATATCACTTAACCACAGTAAAGTATATTCAAACACAACCTCAAGACACTATATCAGGACTAAATCAAGGCCACAGAAAAGTTACAAATGCATCCATCCTTCAATACCGCTGGAGTTACCTGTCAGTAGAAGTGGGTGATAACAGCTGAGCTAGGTTTGTTTAGAACTACTTTAGCTGGAGGATTTTGCCTGATGTGCTTGCTATTTAACCTCAACTATTACCAGTTAATTTAACCACATCATGCTTACAAATAAGGTTTGTAAGGTCAACATAACTAGTGTAAAACTGTGACAAAGACAGACAAATAGAGCTTGAAATTATTAAACTATAATTGTACACTCACCTGTCCTGTGCTGGAGGTGCAGCTCTGTCCCCCTGTCCCATTGTGAGCAGCAGTGTTTGGCCCCCTTGAAGTCTCCAGCAGTGAGGCCCTCTCCACCAGGAGGTAAGCCACCTGTTCACTGGGGCTGCTGTGGATCAGCTCTGTCAGGCCCTGATCATACAGCATCTTAGCCACTTCACTGATCTGCAAATCTGTCCAAAAAATGTGAAAGTTTTCACTTCGAGTAAGTTTAGACTTGTCCTGATAACCTTAATAAATAATTTCATATTCCCACTCACCTTGCAGAGACACCAGCCTCTGAAGTTGCTCTCTGAGCTGGTCATTCTCCTCTTGAATCTCTTGAGCCAAAACATCTTTATGTCCAGTAAAGACCCGAATCTGCTCCAAGGATTTACGAACCTTAAACACACAAGTATAACAATAATATGATCCGAATTAAAGATACTTGATCTAAACAGAACATTAGATGACAGCTCTTACTTTGAATAGGAGTTTTTATTTCATCTTTAGTATGCATGGAATGTTGTATGTGTAAATATGCACACACAGCAAATCCTAACTTGGTTAAAGATCAGTTGAAAGAAGCCAACGCACATCCTGATTCCATGCTACAATGTTATTATTATTATTATTTTTTTTATTATTATTTCAATTGTATTATATTTTATTTTCTCTTGGACTGGAGTATTGGTGATAGACAGTTTGGTTCCTTACACATATTTGACAAATTTTTCATGATGGAGCATGTCTTTGTCTTTGTATTCTCTCTAAAATGTATTTACACTGAAAATATAAAACACAAAAAAGGAATATCTAATTGATCTAAAAAAAAATCCTCACCTCTAATATTTCTGCAGCGTATTGTGATCGTTGTGAGTCCAGTTTCCTGTTGAGACTGTTGAGGTTTCCCTGAGCGTGCTGCAGAGCCCTCCACAGATAACACAGCTGTTCATCTGCTGAGGCTCCAGGACTCAGACCCTGTTCACAAAGCCACGAGGCAATCTGAGACAGCTCCTCCTGCACTCAAAACAAAGGCCAAACAAAGATTAACTTTAAAGAGCCCAAATTATGCTATTTTCTGAGCTATGTTATAATGTTGTTTCCTCATCACAAACATACCTGGAGTTGTGTTTTGTTTCATTCACACATGTATGATAATACACAAGCCCTGTGTATTTAAGATGAATACTTCTCTCAAACAGCAAACACTGCTCCGTCTTGTGATGTCATGTTGTCATAGAGGAAGTACTTCCCTGTGTTTTTAAACTCCATACTGGAATCATATGGATAATATCTGCCTTGGAATTGCCAATTTCTATTGAACAAAAGGAGGATGTTAACTTGAAAAGTATCAGTACTTGACATCACAAGGTGGAACAGAGCATTTTGGAGATGCAGACAGGATTATTCAAATGTGTGACTGAAAACCCTCCAGATATTTTCTGAGGAGGTAACAAAATCATAACATAGCTACATATAAACTCACAACAGATCTGCAAAATATAGGACCATTCATATGTGGATGGGCAAACTGTTACACTGATAGCAACAAATTTTGTTTATGTTCTGTATAGCTTTGGGTAATTTTCAGAGTTGCACACACCTCACATCAAAATTGGGAATAAACTAAACTTGGAACTAAATTTGGACAAATCCAGGACAGGATTAGAATAGGACCAGACCAAATCTACACCAGGACTAAACCATGACAAGAAAAACTATAGATTATCAGATATCAGGGCCAGTCAGTGGTATTGTAGTAGTATAAGTATTGTAACTTTAACTGATTTCAACAACTTACTTACTATTTTACTGTATTGCACAATTCAGACAGAGTAACCCAGTCCTCTAAAATATACTTTCATTTGTTAAACGGGTTTGTGGTTGTGTTGTGAAAGCCAAGTTCTGAACAGGAGGGCGGTCCAAATTTAGAGCTGAATTTCTTAGTGTTTTGGACCACTTTTTTTTGTCTTGCTGCAATACAGAGCTGTAGTCTATCCCGTGCTTAAAAGTGTCTCTACTCTTTCTAAAATACAAATGAGCCTATGTAGTATAGTGCCGCTATCAGTTTAACTTACTACACTGTTCTCAAGCTCTGAACATGTTTTACAATAGTTGTAATTAAGAATATGGTGCGTAATGCGATTTGCCTTTGATAACTTTCAACACCCAGAACTTTAAAACTATTAACATGTACTTATTTTGGGATATTCATTTAGAACATTAGCATACCTCGGCTTGCTCCATGAGTCGTTCGTATTCTGCAACTGTGCTCACGCTTCAGCCTCCACCGTGCGTAAAAGTTGTTGTCGTTAAACATCGGTAAATAGTCAACACCATCGTAACGTCGCCTACATGTGATTCGTCTTCTTACTTCGTCAGATAAAATTGTTAAAATAGTCAGTCCCGTGTCGTACTGTGCAGGGTCAGTATTTACGAAAGTCCAAAAGTTGCTGTGCAGATTTTCCAGTCTTGCGGTTCTGGGAGTGGTGATGAACAGGGACATCTGGACTTGGTTTGGAAAGTAACGGGACGTAATCTCCAAGTTTAAAGGACTGTTGTACTGGAGGCTTTAGCAAGTCCGTTCAATACAGAAATCATTTGTTTTTAATATTACTGTTTTACGAATTGAATAAATTTATGCATAGATACCATCAACTAATGAACTACAATTTCAACATTAAGGGCAGATTTTATTTTTATTTTTTTTTAAATTAAACAAATGCTTTCAGCGTACTTTAGCACCCCATAATTTATTTTAGACCAGAGACTTGTTTCCATGCCCATCGGACTATGAAGAGGAAGGGCATCTGATACAAAAGCATCTGATACAAAAGTGGTAGTTGTGAGGTAATTTTACATATTATGGTTTGATCTTAATCTCTGTATAAGGCTGATGACTCTTCAACATTAGCATTTCAGTTTTATGCAGTACTCTGGGTCCATGGTGTTATGTCTTGTGTGGTCTGAGGTCCCCCTCCCTCGCTCTTAAAGTGGTCACTAATCTGTTTCCTGTATTCCCCTTCTCTGTACTGGCTGTTCTCTGGTGGAGGTCTGAATACCAGGCTGATAGACATGATGAATGGTACGATGTACTGACTCTGAATTCATTTTTACATAGATAGCTTTGCCAAGCATCCTCATACCACTACTACTCCACTATATAAAATTAGGGGTTGATATCAACAGAATTATTGCCTAAATTTTTGGGGAGTATTCTAATAATAATAGTCAGAAACTATTTATGCAATCCAACAAAAATGCTAGAATGTATCTGTGTTTAGCTGTTCATGAGTTTTTTACTGTTTATTAGTGGTGGAAAGTTTGCCTGGAAATCCAAAAGGATATTTCTCTGTATTTGTTATACAGCTCCATATCAGCCACTGGTACAGCGATGAGTCTGGATTCGTCCAGGCATGTGGACAATGACTGTATATTATCATTTGTCATAGGCCACTTGTAATAATAACAAACATTCAGAAATGAAGTAGTAGTAATGATTTGGCGACAGTAGCTCGATTGGTAGACTGACTTGTTCTGAAGGTTGGTGGTTCGAATCCTACTCTTGAAATAAAACACCATTGGTTGAGCGGTCAGATCCACCAACCTGTGGGTTGGTGGTGCGATTCCAGCTCCCACAGATGAATGTTGTTGTGTCCTTGGGGAAGACACTTAACCCGCTTCACCCCCAGTGTCTGCGTATGAGTGTGTGTGTATGAATGGGTGAGTGGTTCCTTGGTGTAAAGCTCTTTGAGTGCCTTGAAAATGGTATATAAAATGTGAACATTTACAAGTAACATTTATCTTTATTAATATGAACTATTCATCTACGATGAACTACTTTCTTGCGTAATGTACATACATATGCCTGTTCAAAAAAATGTCTAGTCAGTGAGTCTGAGTTTTACTTAGTCAACTTGAGTAAGAATATTTTGAAGTTACAGTGTTTTTCCTTGAGCACATGTTATAGCCTCCCAGATGTAAAATGATATGCAGTCGTAGTAAGTTGCGTATATTTGGTCAGCGCAGAGGAATGCCTGTGTTAGTTTTGATTTGGAGCAGGCCATAGATTTTCACTGGGAGAGGGAGCAGGCGGGGTGCAGGCGAGGCAGGAGAGGGGAGGAAGTGGGTGTCATGAACTCCTCCTACATCATATCTGACTGCACATTCCTGCTCCTTTTCTTCACAACTTCTCCAAGATTTAAACCCAAAACGTGTAAGAGGTTTAAGCAAGAAGAAGGAAAGAAAGGACCAGTGAGACGTTTCAGGGTGAGAACTTGCTAAATCACTTTACATCTTCTAATTAAGAAACATGGTTAAATGAGCTTAATGCAATTAACATGGCAAAACAGTATTATTAGTTGTCTATAGTGTTGAATATTTCATACTTTGTAAACCTATTTAGCAGTAGTAGTAACAGTAGTAATAGCAGTAGTCGTAGTAATAGCAGCCTCAACAGTTTTATGTAATAGTAGTAATGTCATGTAATGTCATCTATACATTATGAATGAACCATGCCTTTATTGTTACAAAACTGCAAAAAAAATTACTTGCTCTAATACATGTATATAATTTATCATGCATATTTTTAATGGCTTTTCTCCTATATTATAAATGATAGCCTGCAGTGGCTTTTAGTTGCCGGTAATGTTGTTTTATATTCCCTGGAGATCATCTTGTTTAGGTTTTGATAAATGAGCAGAGATGGCCAGCTCTGATTTTGAGACGCCTAATGATTGTAGACATAGTTTCTCATGAACATACCAAGTCCATACCATTTCACAGCCACTAAAACTAACCTGGAAAATGTTAAAGGTCCTATATTACTCAAAAAATACTTTTGTTAGCTTTAAGCCATGTTATAATGTTGTTACCTCATCAAAAACACACCTGAAGTTCTGTTTTATTTCATTTATACATGTTTGACTAACCGTTTATTATTAGTATGTCTACATCTCCAAAGCTCAAAATGCTCTGTTCCACCTTGTGATGTCATAAGCCAGTAGTTTACAAGTTAATATCTACATTTTACGTTTTGTCTAATAGAAATAGGAAAGCTGTATGGAGTTTTAAAACACAGTAGAGCACTTCCTGGTAATACAGGAAGTGACATCACAAGGTGGAACAGAGTGTTTTCAGTTTGAGAGAAGAACACAGCCAAAATATGCAGAATTTGTGTGTTAAACATGTGTGAATGAAACAAAAAGCAACTCCTGGTATGTTTTTGAAGAGGAAACAACATAAGACAAATCAGAAAATAGCATAATACGGGCCCTTTAATGTAGATGCTTTGTTATTTAATGCAATGTATGTACTATCATTTAAGACTTGTGGCATAAAACTCACTAGAAGAGGGTCTGCAATTAGGCGACTTAATTTGCAGCATAACTATGGATCAAAGTAGCAGAATACCCTGGTAGGAAAGCTCATTATGCCATTGCATAATGAGCGTGCAAGAAATCTTATTTACACCAACTCCGTCACGTCTTCCATCCGAGACCCATGCATCTCCCGCAACAGTTAGAATGCATGAAAAGCTCAAGCTAAAAGTTGAAAATGATAAATTGTTTTACTGATACTAAACACAGTGTATCATTTTTATCCAAGTATTTCATATATTTCATATATTTAACTATAACATACATGATTTGTTATTTTACAATTTGTTAATTGTAAACCGCAATATTAATCTAACTCTGCATATCAATAGAAACATGCCCATTGATTTAATTTTCAAAACTGCGGATCTGAAAAAAAAAAAAAAAAAGATAAATTGGAGTACATAGCATTGCATGTTTTGAGAATGTGATATTTTTGTTTTAACAGAACAGCACTGAACCTCCTGACCCTGTGGCAGCCATGGTCCTCCTCCTCATCTGTATCACTGTTCTGCATCTCTCCTCATTGGCCATGCTTCTCATTTCGACATTGGAAAAAGTGAGCTATAAATAAAGATAGATAGGTGCAGATAGATTTTGTAAACTTACATTTGACTTGTTTCCACAGTCCTGGTGGGTTTGGGATGACTCGGAAATTTCAGATCTCTGGTACAACTGTTTCCAAGACAACGCTACAAAAACTTGGCTGTGTGCTGCCACCAATGAGAACGGTAAATATATTATTGTAATACAGTCTTGTTGAAGTTAGTTGGGTGTCATCTTATCTTTAACACCACACTGTAGAACATTCATCTTAACGTTCTAGAAAAGTTACATAGTGTACCTTTAACATAATGAATTTGAAAATCCCACTTACAGACATTCAGACTTTTTCTCTTGGCCTGTTTTTCTAAAAGCTATAGCAATATGAATTTGACAGCTGGGTCATGTTAGCACACTTAGGTTAGATTTATTAAAAGAGATTTTTTTCCACTCAATGCTCAATCAAATCAGATAAGATTTAAATACATAACTTTTAACAGAATATCTTAAAACGTGGGTTACAGAAATTTAAGTTCAGTACCATAACAGGCAAGAGAGTAAAAAGAAAGCACCAAATTTTAAATCCAAATTTGGTCTTGTTTTGTCATACTTTTGTTACTTTTAGTTGAGCCCGTTTTGTACATTTTATATAATGTCTAAATTACCCAGTGCATTTTAACTTGACTGAACTTTCCATTGTCCACTGAGGTCATTGCTGTATCTCATACCAGATCATTACCACAACATTCAACAATATTGTCACACTTATTCCTGATATTGTACAGCTCTAATGACCGTACAATCACTCTGTGCCAGAATACATGTTTTATTTAGTCTACCCTCTCCTCCGCCCTCTCCTCCATGCCTCCCCTGCCTGTCCCATGCCCCGACCTCCTCACCCCTACTTCCCACCCCTCAGATTGGCTCCAGTCCGTGCAGGCGCTCATGGTCCTCTCAGTGGTCTTCTCGTCCATCTCTTTCCTGGTGTTTCTGGGACAGCTCTTTGCCTTGTCCAAAGGAGGACTCTTCTATTTCACCGGGTTCTGCCAAGCTTTTGCAGGTCATATTTTCGGGTTCTTTATTCTTTCAGATATATTATGGATTGTAGAATATAGCATTTCTTTACTGTTTAATTCTCAGAGTGTCTGGGTAAATGAACCTTTAAGCAAAATACTTTTCTTTAAATACAGGTAGCATATATCATACAGTGAATGTTCTGCTTACAAAGTTTGCGAATGCCATTATATCTTTGGGAAAATTGTATTCTTTCTGCTTACTCCTGTCACAATTTGTGGACTGATAAAAAAAGTACTCATGTTTTTGTAGTAATGTCCTGGGTACTACTCTAAAAGTGAACTCAAGACAAGTAATAGTTTTTTGATATCATCAATTTTTAACGACCAATGATTTTGATTCTCTAAATCATAATGTGTTTTGCTTCTTAAATATTTGAACGCTCCAATCTTTATTTATATGGGACATTTTATGGGACATTTTAATACCAAAAAATCTAAAGTCTCAAAAGTAGACAGTATCAGATGACAATGTTGAGCAATAAAAAAAAAAAAAGAAAAAAAAATGCAGAAAATTTTGATCAGTATTAAAATTATTAATATTCATATTTCCATTTTGCAGGTTTCACAGATTTTGCTGCTTGCCTGATTTTTACGTTCCACAGAAAGGAGATTTTATCCGACTCCAGAGATCCGAGCTCAGGGCGTTTTGGATACTGCTTTATTCTGGCCTGGGTCTGTGTGCCTCTGCTGCTACTGAGCGGAGTCCTCTATGTCCATCTACGCAAGAAACATTGAGACAAGACACTGTTTTACATCAAATTAGAAATACAAAATAATATTACAAGAATATAAAACCAAAACCAAAACAACACACTTGAAATTTGGCAGTAGGATTTGAACATGTAGGCTTATATTTGACCTCTGTTATTGCTGAAGAAAGCCTGAAAGAAAATCACTGCACACTAGGAATGACAAAATTTTAATATATGTGTAACATCACTTGTATTCTGTCTGGACTATTTTTTGTTTATCTTTCCTTACATTGTGTTTTTGCTTATTCATATATGTCCTATATGAGTCATGCAGTACATAATTTTAAACTGCTTTTACACATTCAGATATATTTTAAATAAAACAATATTTAAAAAGCACTCATAAATTTAGCCCTGTATATTTAAAATTTCTACGTAGTCTTTTTTATAGTAGGCTACACTTCAAGAACTGGGACATCCTTGGGCCATATGTCAGACAGCATGAAAGTAAAAGTGATAATACGTAGGGTACGATATTTACACAATATACACAGTGTTGGGGAGTAACGGATTACATGTACCGCCGTTACGTAATCAGAGTACAAATTATGAGTAACTGTATTCCGTTACAGTTACTGTTTCAATGAGTGGTAATTGGATTACAGTTACTTTGCTGAAATAAGTGGATTACAAGGCGGTATTTTCCTGTTTTCACATTTTGTGCTACATCCCATTTATTTATTTTTTTATTTCGGTAATTTCACTCATTGCTGGAAACCCAAACAGAACGCGCGCAATAAGAGCGATGTAAACGTCATGTTAAAGTTGGCGGTGTCAGTCACACAGTGGAAGCAGCAGTGCATTGGTAAAAACACATTTGTGTCTTGGAAATTCTTCTCCCGATGTGAGATATATTATATAAAAAAACAAATATAAAATCGCCTACAACTTAAATGTGAAACAGGAGCTACTGGCACTGGTGAAAACAACCTGCATAGACTCATAATATCTGCACTACTGTCCTATACTGACCTGCCACATGAGGGGACGTGCACACAAACACACACAAACACACACCTTCATCATCGTCATCAACCTGAGAACCCGCGGACCACGTCTCCTTCCGTAGTTACAGCGCGGACACCGCCGTCTCGTGCGCCGCGTGTGGACCGTGTTTTCTCGCGTAAACCGCGCTTCCTCCTGTGCGCCTCTAAACCAGAACTAACACCAGGACTAAACCAGAACTAATCCAGGACTAAACCAGGACTAAAGCAGGACTGAACCAGGTTTAAACTAGGACTAAACCACGACTAAACCAGAACTAAAGACCTGGTCTAGACCTGGTCTAAACCAGGTCTAAAATCAGGAGTAAACCAGGTCTAAAACCAGGACTAAACCAGGACTAAACCAGGTCTAAACAACATGACACCTAACAGTAGGTTGACATAATTTAAGGTGATCTCATATAAAAAAATCATTTCTCTATCAATAATATTTTTTAATCTGGTGAAGGAAAAGCTTATCTTGTTACTGTCTTTTAACAGACAAAACCTCTTATATTAAGATATCCTGGTCTTTGTTTCTCTACAGCAAACAGTTGCTTATTCATGGAGACTTGGGCTCAGACAATTTGAAGACAACAAACAAGAATTTTCAGGATGTGGTTGCTACATTCATGTCGTTTAAAAAAACATGACAATATCAAGTAATCCAAAGTAATCAGATTACGTTACTCACTTTAAGTAATTTAATGGATTACGTTACAAACTACATTTTGGGATGTGTAATCTGTAATCTGTAGGGGATTACATTTTAAAAGTAACCTTCCCAAAACACTGAATATACATGATGGTACAGTATTTATTGCGATATTTTGTGGAGGCTAACAAAATTGTGAATATGCTACTTTGTCCTTTTAAAATGCCTTGACAAGGCTTAATCCAAAGAACTAATATTTAAAAGTCCTTAGAACTGTTATTTCTTCCTGTAGTTTGTGCCAAAACGGAGCAAAGGATCACGGTCGATGTAGTTCTCTCAGTTTTTTTTTTTTTTTTTTTTTTTTTTAGGTATTGGTGCAACATAACAATGAATTTAAGAAAAGAAACTTGTGATTTGATATACTGTGATGGCCCACAGTATTACTGAGAGACTTCTGACGATATGATATCACGATATTTTGGTTATTGGTACACTCCTAAAAATAAGCATACAGTACTTCATCATTTTGTAGTCCATATTGAATTAAAACTGTCTAAAATTTGGTGGCCAGTAGGGGGCACCCAAGCTGTACTGAGAAGTTCAACAATTCCACTGATGACCTGTTAAAAGGTGAGACATATGGGAGGAAATCATGTTAAATAAAATGTTGGAGTGATTGCAACATACAATTTTTAGTAGGTAATAGTTTTCCTTTGTAGTACCTAAAGTGCAAAAAAACATAAATTCAATGACAAATAAAGCATGTTTTAATGTAATTGTAGCTAATGCTAAAGCTAAGCTAAATCATTATATAGGCTATAATGTAAACCATAATGTATCCGTTTTTTTCCCCTGTAGATTTTGTTTTTGTTTTCTTTCTTCCTGTGCAGTTTAAGTGAACAATAAATAACATGTAATTCAGAAGGTAAGTGCCCAAACTTATCACAAGTGCTGCTCTTATCACAAACTAGCAATAAAGTTTTCTCTATGACCAAATCATATAGAATTAAGCAAATAGTTTCACAGTGCAAATACTTAACAACCATTCTGAAATGTTATCAAAGAGTCCACATTAGGATCCCGGGAGAATGCCTACTCTACTGCATGTGTGGGAACCTGAAGATTAACCAAAGAGGTGTCTGGGGAGTTGGAAGTCTTGGAGCTTCTGAACCAGCCTCAGAAGACAAAGAAGGTGGATGACATTAAGAATCTCATCATTTTGCAGGTAATAGGATACTATACTGTCTGTGTTTTGTTTGTTATGCAGCGGATTATCCAACTTTGTTAAGGCTAAACCTGTTTTAACATTTGCATTCAGGTGAGGTGGGTAAAGTAGCCAAAAAGTCAAGTCAACTCAAGTAAGAATAATGCTTTTTCACAATAATATGACTCAAGTGGAAGTACAAAGTATTGGTCCAAGAAGTTACTAATGTAAAAGTTAGAATTGTCCAGGGAACTATTACTCAAGTAAGAGGAATTATTAGTAAATGTCAGGATAAAACATTAAATTTATATTTTTGAAATTAATCTAATATAAACCTGTACAAATTGTGATATTAAAGGATAGACCATGAAAATGCACTGACGTTTAAATTAATATTGTCAACATAAAGTTTTTATTTATATTGATTTACTCACAGTGGGAAGAGTAACTAAAACTTTTATTCAAGGAGAAGTACTCTAGTAATATATTTTACATTGTAAAATATATTACTCAAGTAAGAGTAGAATTATAGTGTTGAAAAACAACTTTAAAAAGTACAATTTACTTTGTACAAGTAAATGTAACTGAGTATGACCGTCCTCTGAGTGCAAATATAGAGATGGAAGATGGAAAAGATGGAAGTTTTTAGTAGTTTTATGGTAGAATTTACTGACAAAATGCAGTTGTTAAGATGAAGTTTATGGTTATTATCTCTGTAATTACTGGACCAAAATCCAGTATCTACTTGAACCAAAAATGGGCACAAAGTTCAGTGTGTTTATTTCTTACTATGCTCTAAAGTAAAGCTAACCTGAAGCCACAATATTAATATAGTAAATTTGTGGGATTAGTTACTAACAAAACCAATAGGTTCAATATTTTGAAGATATTTGAAGATATTTTCTTCAATGATTATGTAAAGCTGAATTGACTCTTGCTATGTATCTGAATTTTCCAAATCAAATTAAGCATGAATGTAACCTATTGATTTTGCAGATAATATTTTGTTTATTATAACCAGAGATGTAATTATTGAATTGGTGACTCAATATTTTTGTTGTGAATGACACTGAGTGAATGATTGTCTGTCAGTGGAGCTGTCCGCTCTGTGAGTAAGCCCTAGGGGAGTGTACATACGGCCCATAGTTGTAGTCTCACCCTCATATGTAGTCTATGTGTAATTACCGAAAGATGAGCAATACATGAATGAGCCCAAATTAGCAAACAGAAAGTCACTGAACTTTGCACTACATTGTAATTTGGCAGATGTTTTTTTCTTTTATTATTATTTTTAGGTTGCTTAGTTTGTTAAGATTATAATTTTGTTATTATTGATGTTTAATTACAGACAATTATTTACTTCTCTATATCTAAACATCATTATTAAAAACTGTGCTCACAGTTTAATCTCTTCACTTGGTAGAAAGCCAGTATTAAAAATAAGTTTCTCATTAACACTGAGATACTGACACTGAACAATCATTTAAATAGGACAAAGTCAGACCATTCCTGAATCAATATTTGAAATAGTACCAAGAACCAATAATTTACAGTATCAATGAAAATTACACACAAACAAAAAAATCTGTATTTATTTTAGAACTGAAATATGAATTTGAAATGTATTATCATAACACTTATCATAACACTCTTATCACTATCAGGTATTAATGTGATTGCTATCAATAATATGTCCAATAGAGGTCTTGAAACCAGACAGGAGACTTGTTTTTACTGCTAATGTGCTGATAAGAAAAGCTCACTTGTAACTGATGGTTTCTTGACAGTATGATGTCACTTCTGTGCCTCCGAAATGACAAAGGTGTGTCTGTAATCCACAACTAAGGTTATGGCATTTTACTATTTACTTGGACCCAACTTTTAGGTCAGAATTGCAAGGAACAAATATCAGATGAACTAGTAATTTGAATGTGAGTTAACATGGTTTACTTTACATGTACTTAAAACATAACCTGTCAAATGGACATACCTTTTTACATAAGTTTTCATGGAACTCAACACCAGGGTAGGGTTTGGCAATTCAGAGAGAAATTCTAGTTTCATTTTTTTCTGACAAGCATTATGATTGCGATTGTTTTAATAATAAAATTCTGTTCAAAATTCACATTTTTAAAAGCCCTACTGAAGAGCTGACAAAAACACTGAACTGACAAACTAATAGAAGAATCACATTTTAGAACATGTTTGTACAGGTCTAAAGTACATTACATAATCCAGAATAAGAACAGATTGTTGTTTATGTCGGACATCATTCAAATTACGATTTTGCAGCCCTATGCCAGCAAACTACAGGCCTTCACTTAGCATTGGAGACAATTTAATACATACACTTGACAACATTAGTCCTGTTGTGTTGTACGTTTGGTGACCTGTCTGTTGGGTAAATATTAGTTTTTTGTATTGTATTGTTTTTGTATTTGGTTTTACCGTTCTTAACTGCCACTCTGCCACTTACTGTTACTCCCTTTGTTAGTCTTGTTTCACATTCCTACTAACCATATACAGTGGGTCTCTTTTTTATTAAAGGTCCTATATTACATGAAGTTGATTCTTTTGAGCTTTAAGACATGTTAGAATGGTGTTACCTCCTTAAAAACATTACCCGGAGTTGTGTTTTGTTTCACACATGTTTCAGTAAACCTTTATTAATAGTCTACATCTTTACATCTCCAAAGCTCACAATGTTCTGTTCTACCTTGTGATGATGTCATGAAGCGGTGGTTTTCAAGTTAACAGCTACCTTTTACATTTTATTTAGTAGAGCTTGAAATTCCAGAGCTGAAATCAACCAAATGATTCCAGTGAAGGTGTCTGGAGTTTAAAACCACAGTGAAGCACTGTATTACCACATGACATCACAAGGTGGAACTGAGTGTTTTCTGTTTGAGAGAAGAACTCAGCCTAAATATGCAGGGTTTGTCTGAATGCATCCATACAATAACTCCAGGTATGTTTTTGACGAGGAAACAAAATTATAATATAGTGTTATGAAATTGCATTGTACCCCTATCAAAAAAACAACAACACAAAACATAATTTTCCAACATGTTTATTTATGTTATATTAGTGTATTAATTTTCAAGTTCAACTGTTAAATTTTTCAACCAGCATTATAGTTACACGTAGTAGTAGTAGTAGTAGTAGTAGTAAAAGTGAGTAGTTTTAGTAGTGGTAATTGTAATAGTAGTAGTGGTACCCTATCACTTGAGAGTTGTAGATGTATTTGAGTTTATGTAAGTGGTTGGAGTAGCACTAGCCCATAACTTGAACCAATTTAGATCAGTACTCACACAACTGCATTGTTGGGAACTTTTACTTATACTTGCACAACAGCTCAACATTAATTTTACTTGACTTCACACATACTTTAGGTCCCATTTTGAGTACTGCGTCCACCTCCAAATATAGTAGGTAAATAGCAAGTAGTAACGTTATAGCACTTGTAATGAAACTTGCCTGGGCACGTAAATACATTCAAGCACAATATAATCTAATACAAATGGGTAGGATTTTGATTATAGGAGGAACAATGTGGCTAAGAGAGTCTCTTTACAGTCACTAATCTGTCAGTCTAGAGAATGTGTGGAATCTAGAAGAAGGAGTGGAGAGTCACTCAAATGTCATAGTTGGGAGGGAACTGCTATGCACCTGTACAATCCTCATAGAGGAGGCATGCTGTCTGGCCGGTGAGTTTCACAACACTGATCGCTGAATTCTAAAGGCTTTCATTGTTTTTTTCTTTGAATATTTTTGGGGTTTTTTTGTTTTTAGAAGTCAGGAAGAAGTCTACGCTTTTGGACTTTGGACAGAAGAATTGTAATTCTTTATCAGGACAAAGCGGAGATATGGGAACATGGAAGATAAGCAAAATGTCCGCAGCTCTGCAAAAAATACATTTGTAAGGTAATGAAAGGAAGTCATATTTGCCTAACAGTGTGGTTCATGTTTGTAAATAGTATCTTATTTGTTTTACACAAATAAAAATAGCCCTTTAACCACTAGTATATTAAAATAGTCTTTTAAGCATAATACGAATTGAAAATCTAAAATCTTAAAGCCATATGGCATCCACTGTAATAATGTTGTCAAAATGAATATACAAGGCCTTTACCAGTTGGTATTTTAGTGACTGTTGGGGATCCCAGAAAGGAAGAAAGAAATCAGATATGTATGATATTATACTACACAAAATTGTGTTAGTGTGTTAGCAACTTCAACTGAAACTAGTATTTTTTAGCCAAACATATTCACACTACAACCAACTGTTGAATGGGAGATAAAATATTTCTGACGATATTTTAGATTCATGATCATTTTTTTAATGTACATTTTTGTTTATGTATATTTACTCATATGTTTATTCTTGGGTGTTCAACACTGAGGATGCTAAAACAATTAACAGATTTGCCTCTAAAGGTGAATTCTGTAACTTTTCTGATAAATAGTCCTCTATTGTGTCCCCATGGAGATAGTACTGTTTGGCTACATTGTTTTACAGTATGGAATTAAACGACAAGGAGACATGCTTCATCAGAAAGAATACAGAGTACAACTTTAATTGTAGACCCAATTCCAATCTACTGTTTTGTGGTTGAATTCTGACCTGCGAAGTGTAACATAATATTTTGTCGTCTTCTCATCATTTATTTATTTGGGTTTTTTTTGTTTTTGTTTTTTTTTACAGTGTAGCACTTTGAGTCTTGTGGGTCTTGTGATGGTGCCTGTTCAGAGACCTCCTTATATCTAATCTTGCAAAGCCAAACTTAACCATGTCAAACTCCCAGGAGCAAAGTCTTGATGAGGATGTTATCTTCCTCCCTGTGACCGAAACGTGTTCGGGCTTTTTACACTCCGAAACTGAACGCTTGGCTTTGGAGAGACTTTTAAACGCAGGACCTGAAGCGTTCTATAGCACCGTGGGATCTGAACATTCAAGCTGCTTTTTATCATCTGAAGAAGTTACTGATCTGACAAATTGGGTCCAGGACTACCACTTGACTCCACCGCCAAAGGAGGAACTTTGGGATAATGGACCAGACCTGGGTTTTGAGGGTTATTCGTCCACGTATTACCCAGTACATTCGGACCTACCCGCCCCGGGCCTGGCCCTGGGGTGGCCCGAGAGGACCCCCTGGGGACAAGAGGACAGTGTCAAAGTCTACACCAGCCCCCCAGCAGAAGGAGAGCCGTCTGTCAGAGAACTCATACGACAACATCTGCAGACAGCAACTCAAGTATGTGCTTCTGAGTGGTTTCTTTTTTAAAATTTATATTTTATTCAAATTTATATTAATTTGTATTAATAAAATTTTACAGAATAATAATAACATTTATAACGCCTCAGCACTGAACTATGGTGTAACATGGACTGTATATATAAATGGACTTAGCTAACAGTCTAGTCAGCGTGTTCCAAATAGGAAGTTCGCATTGTGGACTCCTCTGTCTCCTAATGACCCTGGCTCCCATTGACTTACATCAGAATATTGTGGCCCCTCTCTCTGTAACTGCTGCTGTGAGCCTTGTCATTTTACATTAACCCGCTATACATGACCCTGGTGTTTTTTCCCTCTGTTTTGTCAGTTAAAAAATTCTGTTCATAAAATAGAGCCTGGCTCCAAATTCACCCCTGTAACCATGAGCATTGTGAGCTTCATTTGAGTGGAGCTGAATGCTATGGGTGACGTCACACTCACTAGTCCACACTAGTCCACTTCTTTATACAGTCTATGGGGTGTAAAGGCTCATCTATCAGTTGATCTCTCACCAGGGCATGAACAGTCTTCTCTATTTTGTCTAGTGTACTGTATCCGCCCTTTTCCAAATCTTAATGAATTTGTCCACTTGCAGCCTAACACAATGCAGTCATGTTCTCCAAATTATATATACTGAGTATACTTGTTACATGGAAATGTTTTTGCTTTGTCTGGAATGTTCCACAGCATTAAACATACTTATCTCAATGCAGCTGATGCCACCAGGACAAATTACAGGTTTAGTCTGTGGTGAGATGACCCCGTTCCAGTAAAAATACATGCATCACCATCTAGCTGAATACATGCAAAATGTTTGAGTTAAATAGCATACTTTGGAACAGAGGCAAAGTTTTAACATATACAGTATTTGTACTATTTAAATGTGACCACTAACTTCTATCTAATGAAAACTTGAAACTAACTGAAATAAGTGTAGCACTGGATGATTTCGGGTTAAAAGTAGTATGTGATTTATCTAACAAATACTGTAAGCTACATTTATATTATATTGTTTAGAATCAAGACTGCTTGATTTAAACGTGTACAGGAGTATTAACAAGAACTGGAATATGAACTTCCACCCTAATCACCAAATTCATTTCATAAGAAGTTTGTTGAACTAAAGGAGCCTACAGGGTTAGCAGGTTTTGTACATAACAAATAGCAGGAAGATAATTCAATGTTCATAGTAGTCAATTAGTTTGTCATGGCTGATTGTGTTACTATTGGCAGGAATATACTGAAGCTTAGTCTGCAATAACAAGTTGAGCTTGACAGTATAAGAAAAAAAAGTATGTAAAAAAAAGTAAAGGTAGTTTCTATCTGCAGTGCCCATGCAAACCAAACCTGTCAAACCATATATTTTCCCATTCTTTTGTTTTAAAACATCACACTCCACACTTAAAGTTACTCAAATATCACTAATTACAAGCTAATATATTATTTTGATCAGTCACTCTGACACTTTTTCTTGGGTACTTCTTGAGTTCTTGTTATAACACCAGTTTCAATATATGTGCATCCTAACTGAATAACTATTTGATTTGAAGAAAGCAAATTAATACCCTTAGCCTTTCATTTAGTTTTCACTGTGATATTGAAATTGGTATTTAGTGATGTGACATTTTGAAGACTTTTGCCCATTCATGAGATGTAATATTTTGATTTGAATTGTTAATTGCTATGGGAACAGACTTAATTTTTCATGAGTCTGAAAACCGTGGATAGATGTTCCAGCTCTGTGGTATTGAAGTATAATGTTTGATGTTGTGTTGCAGATGATCGCCATAGTAACAGACAGACTGACAGACTGCACTGTGATTGGGGACCTGCACAATGCTGCCTCTCGTGGGGTCGCCGTTTACATCATTTTAAACCAGAGGTCCACTCACGAAAGCACTTTGCTCCGGCTCAGGCATCCGGTAAGCCCAGACCACTCATGCAGAGAAGTGGGGAGGTTAGCAAAAGCAAAAGCATAGATAGTACTGCTGTGGAAATAAAATTAGATCAGATTAGATTCAATGTCATACAGGTAGGGATGTAACCATAATTACTATATCAGTTTATCGTTCAGTACCTGATAGATGGAACAATAGTATTTGTCTTGGTTACTTTTTCTTTGTGCCAGTAGGGAACTTTTTTGTATTTTTCTGTACTATGATAAAATAGGAGCTGTAGAGGGTTGACTAAATAACTTTTATATTATATTGTACATTATAGAAAACTAACTACAAAAGTGTCTCATCTGTTATTTATTTATCACAGTTAATATTTTTAGAATAGTTTTTTGGGGATAACCTTGCTTTAGGGTTTTTGTGTCAATGGCATAAATTAGTTACAATATTATCATTTATTGTCTATATTTTCTTCACCAATATATCACACTTTAAAGTTTCTTATTGTGTCAGGCCTGACATAGAACAAGGATGTTATGTAACAGTTTGATATGCCAAACATGAGGTAACATGTTGTGATTCAATCAATCATTTAATCAATATCATTTTATTTATCCCCAAAGGGCAATTGAAGCACACTGAGTAGTAAAATGCAATAATAATAAAAAACTCAAACAAAGTCTCATTGCAGCTCAACAGATTGAGTTATCTGATCCATTGTTAGAACAGTTTGAGGAGAAGAGAGCCCTCAGAACAAAACTGTCATAAAATGGGATATGGGACTCCATCTGGGTCCATCAGTATAGGACCCAGAAACATGAACACTTAACACACTGTGGTAGTAGTATTGTCCATTCAAGTCTGGTCATGCTTCCATGATGACGTTGGCCATAGAACTATCTCATGGAAAATAATATATAATTATATGAATTACCAATAGATTATTTGGTGTAAGGGTATGACATGACAGCTGTCTCATTCATCACAGAGATTTAGATCTGAGTGATACCATGAAACAAGTAAATGTAAAAAAAATGAAAATAATTCTTCACAACATATTTTAAAAGATATTTAGTGAAAATCAAAGTACAAAAGTACAAAATTGAATAATACTGTTATCCACTTTACCCCAAGAACCCTAAGAAGACAATTTGCTAGCAGATGTTGGCTCAGAATGTCTCTTGATGATTAAACCTTTATTTAATCAAAGCTGTTCTGTTACTTGGTTGATATAAAGTGATTTAGTTATTTAACCAAACTGTCAAACCAGTGTATAAGTACATTCTGCTGTATTGCGTTCAGCATAATTTTAAGTTAAGATATAAGAAACACAACATTCTTTCTTTTCACTGTTACTGAGCATTAAAATATTTTCTTCAAATAATAATAAAGTATAAGTTACATTTAATTTATTCAAAGTACTACTACTAACCAGTCTGCTCCTATGAACAACACACACACTCACACCGCTTTCATACTAGGCAATGTGGGTGAAGAGTCCTAAGGACACAATGGCACTTTTGCCACTGGTGCCACACTGTGGAACACTCTCCCATCCAAACACTAACCAAGCCCTGCCTTGCTTAACTTCTGAGATCTGACGTAATCAGACATTGACAAGGAGGCTTGGCCTACTCAGGTACATTGCTACGTATCTCCTTCCTACCCACCTGCGCAAATGCACAAGCCCTGCCCACAACTGTACACACCTAGCAGCAACGTCTGTTTATCCTCTGGATAAATAAATAATCTTAACAGCTGATTCACAGCTCGGGTCAATAATCTTATGTAATCCTCACCGGCACGAAACTAGGCACAGGTTAAATCAGTCCTGGTATCTCAGCGGTGCAAATGTGGCATTTTCTCACAAAGCAATGCAGTGCACGTTACAGCTAAACAGGTTACGCAACATTCACAGCTTTCCCTTTGGTTTTAGCAGTTAAGAAAGAGAGAAGTCTGCAGGTTATGGCACATTGTAACTTCACATAGTACAACCTCTCCTGCCTTGGGGTGACAAAAAAGTTTCTAGTTTTGAATGGTTTTGAAATTACTGTAGACAAATGCAAGGAAAACAAGCACCTTCCCTCTAATTCACACAAACCTTCCAAGAGTTCTATTAAAAATGATACATGTTGGATTTTCAACTCACATAGTATTTTATTATAAACATACTGCCTATTGCCCCCCCACTATTAACCTTATAAAGCAGAACTGGGCATATTGTGGCCCGTGTGCTTGGCCTGTCTTTATTAATCTTAGATCTTTAGATCTTTATTAATTATAGCATAGTAATAGTTTACAGTAGCCTGTATTTTACCAAAAGTTTGCTTCTGAGCATTTGTTACACTGTTGATCATGCTGGCCTGGCCTTCTGCAACATGCCTTGATTGAAATAAGGTCCCGAGGAAAAATAACTGCACACCCTCTTCTAAAGATAAATACATTCAAATGAGCTATCGGTTTCATTTATGATTGAGCCACATCATATTGCTATTGAAAAAATGCATTAACCTGATCCTGTTTGTGCCCCTGACAGAACATGCAGGTGCGATTGCTCGGAGGGAAGAGTTTCTGCTCAAGGGCGGGCCGAATGGTGGTGGGAGAAATGAAAGACAAGTTTGTCCTGGTGGATTTACAGACTGTGATTCATGGCAGCTACAGGTCAGTTTAGACACGACATCACGCTTCCTTTGTTGTCTTACTCTACACTCAGCACTATACACTGAAGGGCAATGAACATTCATCATGAAACCATCAAACTATTTACTCACTCATTTATACACTAATCTTCACAGGCGGGTCAGGGGTTTAGCTCAAGGATATAACAGCAGAATCGAACAGCTGACTATACGGCTAGTGGACAAGTGCTGTACTAACCGAGCTACTGACGCTGGTGGCAGAAAATTTTAAGTGAAAAAACACATAGCACACTCAGATGGCTGATGTCCAAAAGCTTTTTTTAATTTAAATGACATTTGTCAGATCACTTCTCTTGCTTTGGACCACAGTATACAAAATGGTTGCCCAGGTGCTCATATCCTCCTCCAAGACATGGGAGGTCCCACAGTGAGGTCACCCAGTGAGATCTGAAAAATATATTTTGGTTATGATGCATGTTTGAAGCTATTAGGTTGATTAATTGTGAAAAAAGTCCAAAGTCTGGTATTTAAAAACAAATAAATATGGCAACAAGAAGTGATATGATAACAGAAACATTTTCAAATCATCTGAATTTTAAATCAGTGTTTGGTATATGACCAGACCGTTGCTGTTTCAGACTATGCTTTAAGACTATTTCTGACATAAAAGTAAAAATATATAGTTAGCAAAAATACCTGGTTGACTTTAGTACACAATGCCATTGTGGCCTCAAGTAAAACATTTCACCCTACTTTGCTCTTAAGCTGACAATCCCTTGTTCATGTTGTACAGCCTCACGTGGTCAGACGCCCACCTACACCGCCAGCTCGTCACTGTCCTCACCGGCTCTGTAATCGACTCATTTGACCAGGAATTTAGGATCCTCTTTGCTGCTTCCTCCCCTGTGCCAGAACCAAGGAGAAGTTCTGTTAGTCAAATAACCAACCATGTTAACAACTTTACGGACATGTGGTTCCCAAAACATCTCCCGTTCGTGGATGCGGAGATAATCAACCCGCCATCACCCCCTGGTGATAGCATGCTGGACTGGGATGCAATGGGGGTGGTAACAGGAGGGAGCAGTGTCCCGAACAGTCCACTAGAACAACATGAAGATGTGTTTTTGATAAACACAGATAAACAAGAACCATTGAATAATGTGATGATGGACAAAAATACCAAAGCCATGGATCCATTTTTTAGCAATAAACACATTGACGTTGGCAAAAAGAGGTAAGGAACAAAATCAAATCTGTTTATTTTATTGTAGATTTTATAAGACTGATTTACAAAAAGTGGACAAAGCTTGATTTTAAAAAAAAAGCAAATTAAAGGCCTGCCGTGTCAACAATGACAATTTAAAATATTATTAACTGCAATGCTGTTAGTATCTTTATCTTCCATTTATTTAAAGGGGCCATTTTTGACCTGTTATAATGTTGTTTCCTCATCACAAATATACCTGGAGTTGTGTTTTGCTTCATTCACACATGTTTTACACACAAACCCTGCTTATTGAAGCTGCGTTCTTCTCTCAAAACACTCTGCTCCACCTTGTGATGTCATGCGGTTATATAGGAAATACTTGGCTGCATAGGCTTCAAGAGCTTCATACACCTTCAGTAGAATCGTTTGGATAATTTTAGCCTGGATTTAGCAATCTTTACTCAACTAAAGGTAAAAGGTAGCTGTTTAACTACTACATCACAAGGTGCAGAGCATTTTGCATTTTGCGCTCTGTAAATGTAAACAGATTAATAATAAAGGAACCCTCATGCATGTGTGAATGAAACAAAATACAACTTCAGGTATGTTTTTGAGGAGGTAACATTATAACATGGCTTTAAACTCATGAGAGTCAATTTTGTGTAATATAGGACCCATAAGTAATATTTACAGCGGTCTGGTAGCCGTTTGGGCATTTCATGATATTGTATGTTACTTAGGCCAATGTACATTCAAATGTCATGTTAAAATTGGCCAACATCTAATTGACTGCATTTATTTTCTATTTTCTTCTTTCTATTTTCTATTTACAACCATTATGCATATGTAGCTTTTGGTATTCATTGTTTATGTACTTTCCAGGTTAAGTGAACCTCCACCTCCTATGTCTCCTGCACCTCCTATAAATCCTCCACCTCCTGCACCTCCTAAACCTCCTGCACCTCCTGCACCTCCTAAAACTCCTGCACCTCCTGCACCTCCTATAACTCCTGCACCTCCTGCACCTCCTAAAACTCCTGCACCTCCTATAACTCCTGCACCTCCTATAACTCCTGCAGCTTCTGCACCTCCTATAACTCCTGCACCTCCTGTACCTCCTATATCTCCTGTTACCAAATATGTCTCACAATTAATGGAATCTTACGGGTAAGTCAGACATAATTAACAAATCTTTTATTATTAATGTGGCATTGTTAAAATTTGTGCACTTCCTTTTCAGCGTAACAAAGCCTACACTGAAAGAGCGTCTTCCCAATCCAGAGATAAGAATAGAGCCATGGTAATCTCTCTGGAATATGTTAAAAACTGAGATAATATTGAAATTAATTACTCATAATAAGTTGAAATTTCTTGCAGGATAGAGCCTATGGTGGAAAAAACTGTTGCAAGACAAATTTCTCAAGAGCATACAAAATTCGATAAATACTTAAAAAGGCCTGAGAAGGAGCCAGAGCCATTACACAATGTTAATGCAGTTTCCCACATAAAAAGACGACAAGATATAAAAGAAGAAATTACTGTGAAAGAGGAAAAGAGTGACAGCAAAGATGAATCTTTTAAAATGGAAAACATGCCATCCTCAAGAGTAAGTGTTTTGAATTTTAGACAGCACAATATTAGTATAGTAAGTTAGTTATAGTAATATAAGTAGTATTAACACAAAAATATTTTGTTATGTATTTAAATAATACATTTTATTCTTGCATTTAAACAACAATCAATGTATTCTTCACACCATTTGAAGAAACAAAACAATTATCCCTACACAAAATATTGCTTTGAGGATTGAAATTATATTGATAGTCCCTATTTTTTTCTCTTTGTAGAAACCTGTGATTTTAAGGCTGCCCCACAGTGAAGACACCAGCTCTCTCAGTGACATCATGAAGAGGATGAAGCAAAAGCAGAGCACCTATGAGCAAACAAGGGAGCACACAAGGGAGCACCCAAGGGAGCAAACAAGGGAGCACCCAAGGGAGCACCCAAGGGAGCACCCAAGGGAGCACCCAAGGGAACACCCAAGGGAGCACCCAAGGGACCACCTAAGGGACCACCCAAGGGACCACCCAAGGGACCACCCAAGGGACCACACAAGGGACCACACAAGGGATCCCCCATGGGAGCGCTCCAAGACGGCCTTCTCGGAGCTAAACAGGTCCTTGATGGAGCTGAATGTTCCAGGCCAGGAGCAGGATGAGAAAACCACCCCAGTGCCTCGGTTCAGGGCAGGGGTAAGCGTACATTAAGTAACAGAGAGATGTAAGGTAACAGTTGGGTAAGTTTGGGCACAATTATACTGCCAAGTTGGAAGATTGTGGTCAATTGTAAAAGAGAAAAAATACAGAATTTTCAAAGAAGCTATAGGATTGGGATGCCTTCTCTATGCTTTCTGGTAGAGGGTCTGCACTAGCGGACACAAGGAAAACAGGTGATGCCAACAGACTGTTACTGTTGAGCCTGCTCATAGTAAGCACACATGATTTTCAAGATGTATATAGGCCTGTATAATTGTGATAAATAATTTGTAATTCAGTGAATGCAAAATAGAGGTGTTTATTGCTGTACTGTGCAACACCCAGACAAAACAATAACATTTACATGAAGACAAGTAGGTTGCAGATCCCCCAACAAAAAAGATGAAAAACACACTATGGGATTATGGACAAATAAACATAAAATTGCTCAACTGTTACCTAAAATCTGCACTCATTTGTTTTTTCATGCAACTTTTTGATGGTTAAAGATAGTGAACAGCATTTGCTTTCCTCCCTACTGTGTCTCTCCCCAGGCATTGGATGTGGAGTTGGTGACCCCGGCTTTAGCTCTTATGCAGAAGAGGAACGACTATATTCGGAGCTCCCTCTACAGGCCTCCTCTGAACTTCCAGCTCAGAGAGAGACCACGCAGCTATGCCTTCAGTCCAGACTGGAAGGGCTCCCTGTCTGAACTGGAGACAAGGAGCGAAGGACATTGAAATATACTGTTACCTTTTAAAATGTGTTTTCATGAAAATATGGTTGCTACTTTTGGTGAATGAAGTGACCCATGCAGTGTTAATACCTACTATAAAGATAAAGCATAGTAAATACTGGGATTTTATTATGGGATGTTGAAGTAGTTTATAAGCTTTATCTGTAAATAATATATATATATATATATATATATATATATATATATATATATATATATATATATATATATATATATATATATATATATATATATATATATATATATATATATATATATATATATATATACATATGGCTGCTATACTTATTTTCTATTGTTTGCCTATTTATTTTCGATATAGGCTCTTACAAACTTTCACTGAGGGAAAAAAGACATTCATTCTCATCCAGTTGATGACATAAACTGTATGTAATAATTAACTCAAATGCATAGTGTAATGTATTGGTAAATTGTAAATGAATGCATTTATTTCACTTTGAGACAGATTTAATATGCATCAAATGGTTTATTTTTGTTTCAACATCTTTAGATCAGCGGCCTGTGTTTACATGCACACCCATCTGATCATTATCTGATTTCTGGAGATTATTTGAATGTCTAGTGAAAACTTATAACTGTGTCTAATATGAGTAATCTGATTTCTTTTATTGTGATTGTTCACCTTTGAGCAGGTTTTGACAATTATGCAAAAAAATAAAAGAATAAATACAATAAAATAAAAGTGCAAACTAATGTGGCAAAGAGGCTAATGAAATTTATTTTGTGCACATAAACCTGTATCATAAATAAAATCTAATTTTGTCATCAGATTATTTTATTCTGTGTAAATATACCCATTGTTAGACTAGTATTTCTAAACAATTTATTTTACAGACACTTCAGGGGACGCCAATTGACGATAATAAAAGTGTATGTCCTTTTATAAAGAAACCATTTTATTTCTATAAACATGTTGGAAGGTTTTGTTGCCGCTAGTGGGCAGTAGGCAGTTTTCATCACCCGAAACGAAGCGAAGAAGAAACTCGGAAACACATGGCGACATCAGCTGAGCTAGAAGACTCTTTTTAATCTAAATTGTATTTACTCTTAGGGTTTGATCCAAGCCACACATACTTAATCTCTTACGGTTATTTTAAGAGAAAATCAGTGGAACATTATTTCAACATGGTTCGTGCGCAAAGGTAAGTTTGGCAATTATGGCAACAAAACTACATGGGAGTCAAGTCAAATCCACACGTGTGTTTCCATTGACTTCCTAAAATAAAAACATTAAATTAAGGTGAAGCTGTAATGGTTGTTTTGTACTGATAGAGCTAAACCCACTGGGAAACCAAAGAAAAGACCGCAATACGATGAAGACGACCCAGAGGCGTACAGAGACATGCCTGTCCCTGATAAGGTAGATTTATGTACTGACTGTATAGGCTACTGTGTGTGAACTTTTTGTTGTTATTAGCTTTGAACTGTTGTTGTTTTGCCCTATATTTTACATGTTTAATAATGATTACATGAAGTCTACCTCTAAATATACATATAGGATCTATTTTCTCCGAATACTGGGTTTTTACAGTTTTCTGTTATACGGGGAAAAATGCATTTCGGCTTATATATTGTTTCTTTTTCTAGAAATCATCCAATTACATAAAGGACAAAATTGATGAGTTTCACGATGAAAAGATTGCAGTAAGTATGCAGTACATTTAATGATATTTAATTAATAGCCTGTAGTTTTGTAATGCTGGTGGTGATTTTATGTTTGTAGAGTCTTCTGGCCCGAGGAGTGCAGATGGACAGTGAAGAAGAAGAGCTGGATGATGAGGTTGGTGAATTTGGCACTTACTATTTCATGGGAGCTTTCAGAAGCTTAAAAAGGTTTTAAGGGAAATATTCTTAAACTATTCAATAAATCATTGCCCCAAAATAGTGGGCGATATTGACAAAAAATACTATAAAGACATTTTTTTTAGGTCATTTTAATTTGAATTATTCTGTCTTAAATGTTGAGACTCAAGAATTAGAGAAACCTGAATGGGCTGTAAAATGAATCACAGAGAATTATCATTTTGTATTATTGTAGTTCTTTTGTATCTTTTCATTATACACTTATTTATTAGATATTCTAATTTTGCATATGATCTAAAATTTTGCAGGACGAGGTGATGCCTTTGGATGATTCCGAGGAGGAAGAAGATGTGGAGGAAGAAGGGACAGACATGGAGAGTGACCTGGAGGAGAAGAAAGAGGAAGGTAATGCTATGTACCTGTATGTATTTTTTGTGCACATCGAAATGAAATAATGGGCACAACATTATTGATATTTCTTTGGGTTTAGAGGTGGCCCTTCAAATTATATCTTGTATTTTTTTTCCCCTCAGATCTTCCAGATGAAATGGCTTGGGGCAAAAAGAAGAAAATGTTTTACGACTCTGACTATGTGACTACCAGTAAGCATCTTCTATTTTTATTTTTGTGATTACAGGTTTAAAACGGTGTTGATTTTAGTTGACAATAGTAATTTTATTTATTTAATGATGTTTGTTTACAGAGGGGAAAAAACCTGAAGAGTTGGAAGAAGAGGAAAAAGAGGAGGAAGAGGAAGCCATCAAAATCCAAAAACGTTTAGCTGCAAATCTGAGTGAGGAGGATTATGACTTGAACTTTTTCCAGGTAATCTTTATTACATGCAACACATACTTTTTGATGATAGTCAGTTACATTGTTTATTAAAGTGATTGTAATGTTTTAGGAGTTTGCGGTTGAAGAGAAGGACGAGGAGGGGGAAGTTAAAACAGAGGAAAAGATTGTTAAAGATTTAAAAGAGATGTCCCAAAAAGAAAAGATGAAACTGCTGAAGAAAGAGTCCCCAGAATTACTTGAACTCATTCAGGATTTCAAGAAGAAGGTGACAAAAAATAATTTATGTACCATAATAATTATTTGGCAGCAAAAAATATGACTTGCTTTAAATGTCTTTTTTTTTGTTTGTTTGTTTTTCTTTTAATTGCAGCTTACTGAATTGAAAGATGAAATACAGCCGCTTGTTCAAATGGTAACCAATGGAAAGATCCCACCAGGAAAAGTAGGTTGATTTTTATTTTTTTGAGTTATGCAAATTAAGAAAATCTTTTATGAACTCATTGTACCAAATTTGATTTCTTATTTTAAAGGGTGCAGAATACCTCAAGACAAAACAGCAGCTATATTTAAAGTGAGTCACAGATAATACTAAATGTTCCTGTTTATTTTTTGTGCTCACAACCAATTAATTTAATGTACTTTTTTGTTTTAGCTATTGCACAAATATCAGTTTCTACTTGGTATTGAAAGCAAAAAGGATACCTGCTCATAACCATCCAGTGATTGAAAGACTTCTCACCTACAGAAATGTAAGGCACTCCCTACAAAACAATAATTAACATTATTGCCAGAGTGTTCTTATAAAATTCATGTTTTCTTATTTTGCAGCTTATCAATGAACTCAGTACAGTAGATGCCCGACTTGCTCCACAGTTTCAAAAGCTGCTGGCTGGAGAGGAAAGTCTGGGCGGTCAGAAAACAGATGGCAAGAAGACTAGTAAGAAAGAAAAGGTAATATTCATGAACACTTTTTCTACCAATATTAATATTTTTTACATCATTTCTCTGTAACTGTCAATAATGTAATGCATTATAGTTCCAATTGCTTCACCTCATAATTATGTATAATTGTTGCCACGTTTAGTCATCACTCGCCCTAGACAGATTTTGACTATTTTGTTCCTAAGCAACGTTGACTCTGGCTAAAAATGCAACAAAATTAACTTAACAAAACAATATAATGCAAGAGTTGTAATGAGAAAAAATTAATAATTGCAATTTTTTCACATGTTAGTTAAATAATCCATGTCCAAAATTACCAGTACTACTTATACCGCTTTTTTTGTTGTTTCCAGAATCTTGAAGAGGTTGGCTCTGCAGACATGGAGGACTCAGACTCTGAACTGGACGAAGAAGCAGCTTTACAGTTTTACAAAGGCATCGAGCAGAGACTGAAACTCAAGAGGAAAGGCAAAACTCCAGAGACCGAGGAGTGAGTTGAGAAATGAGATAGATTTTGATATTGTTTAGAAGTTTAGCATTTAATTGTTCTAACTTTTTCTCTTTTTTTTAACAGAATGGGTGAAAATGAAGACGAGGAGGAAGATGAAGATGCCAAGAGACGAATTACTTATCAGGTAAGTTGCAAAAATTAAAATTTTAAATTTTAATCAGTAAACAGTTCCAATTTACATAGGCATTTTTACCTACCCTGCCATCTACACGTCTATTGATTGTTTAATGTCATCTGAAATCCAGCAATAGCATTTGTATATTTTGCATACAAAAATAATTTTGATAGTATACTTGACCATGTATTACACAACTAAATTCTTTCTTGTTTTAAACCTATAGATGGCCAAGAACAAGGGGCTAACTCCAAAGAGGAAGAAGATTGACCGCAATCCAAGAGTCAAACATAGAGAGAAGTTTAGACGGGCCAAGATCCGCAGAAAGGGACAGGTTTGTAGTTCCCACGGTTAAGTTAAATTTGACATTTTAAAATTTTTATTTTTAATCCTAAATTTCAATGACGTCCTACCAGGTCCGAGAAGTGCGCACTGAGGATAAGCGCTACAGTGGAGAGGCGTCTGGTATCCGCGCTGGAGTCAAGAAGAGCGTCAAACTCAAAGTCTAAAACTAAATGTAAACTGTATCAACGTTATTGTCAGTGTATTGTTAGAGTTTCAACAGGTTGTATAATAAATTCACTAAGTCTTGTTGTAGTCTTATTTATTCTATATTATCAAACATAAGATTGTTTACAGTCATAAAGATAAGGTTCTTCTCACATTTACAAGAAAGTAATCTTTAAAAAGGCATCTGTTAAGTTTATTTACTGTATGCAGTAGGAAAGGCAAAAATGTATTTAACTTACAGGTAAAGACAAGCCAAAGCCTGGGTAAAGCAAAGGGTACATAAACAAACTGGACATTTTATTAATTATGCCAGTTGCATAATATATTAATAAGAAGAAGATTGTTGAAGTCTGTTAGAAGAAAGTGGAGAGGATGTGATAGTAACAGAAATCTGTATCTCTGATTAATTCTTGTGGGCTTATCAAATTTAATGAGGTCAGAATTTAACCATTCATTTACAGATCAAAATCATCACTTTGCTCTTCATATGCCCTAAGTGCAATTGCTACTTTCACACCTGTATCTTAATCCCTTTATCCCTAGATACAATGCCTGAGTGCCATGTTCTATTTTAATTGTTGGATTAAAATCAGAAGAAGAGGTGTATCTAATAATATGGCCAGTGAATTTACATTTTATACCAACATGCAGTTCTTTTGGCCCCTCAGACTTTTTCCTGGTCTATAAATCTTTTGTGTGCCAATGTCAAGTTACTCACTATCCTCTCCTCAATCTCAATGTTGTTTTTCACATCTTCATCTGATAAAAGGAGCTCCACCTGAGTGTCCCTGGTTACCACAACGACGTACCCCCTCCGGGAGTCCAGCACATTGGCCACTACAGCCTGGTGCCTGTATGTGTCTAGGGCCCTTTTGGCTTTGTCCAGGAGAATGGAGGCGTCGGTCTCCAGTTTAAAGGAAATGACGAAAGCTTGAGGGGCCCAGTCCTTAACCAGTGGAGACAAGATCTTAGGGACCATGTTTAAACTGAGCTGTAGGAGAAGAAGATGAATGTAAATACATTGGTATGATATTTGATTATTTACTGGATCCGTGACTCTGAGGTGGGTATGTTGTACTCAGATAAAATTACTTTGATGTTGCATCACTTAAGCAGAAGTAAACAGTAGTGATTTGAACAATTACTCAAGAATAAAGCTTTAATTACTATTTTCTAAGTAGCTATGAGTAAAGTATAACATGCTGCTGAGTTTTACATACTGTATTATTTGCCATTGTAAAGACGATAGTTCTCTCTCTGGTAATAATATTGTACATTCTTTAATATTAAAATGTATTTACCTGTAGTGGCCCATTTGAAGACTGAATTTTGTGTTCAGGCATCTCTGATGCTGGGATATAGAAATCAGAAACTGCAGCAGCCAAATAAAACATGGCCTTGGAACCTGGAATAAAAAAAAAAACATTTTGGTTAATTTTGGGGTAGGATGATTGCCACCCATAGACTGTATATACAGTGTATAGACTGTATAATGTATTTATACAGTCTAAGGTGCCACCAGGTCACTACTATTTCAATTTAAACTAAATCGCAAACAAAAATAGAACTGTCAATTGGGCAAATGTTTTTAATATTGCATTTTCTTATGTAGTAGAGCCTGATCAGATGAACAGTTACAAAAACAGAAAATAAATCAAAGTAAATATGCCTTACCTATAGAGCTGAGGGCCTGTGCTGCAGCTTTGAGGAGATGCAGGTACTCTGACAGTGCGCTGAACTCTATGGGCAGAAGTAGTCTGCTTTCTTTCACTTCCTGATAACGTTTTAGCACTTTGGCAATATTGGGAAGCACCACCTGACTGACCACCACCTCCCCTCCTTGACCCCCCTTGAGCTGCAGTGCATCCAGCATGTTTATGGTTGAGAACATTCGGGTATATGGGTACAAAGAGCGGTGCCTGTGTAGGAAAATAACTGCATATCCAGCTTCTATGAAGTACTCTGCAGAAGATGCTCCTCTCCGCCCACTGCTGAAATTGTCCAGAAATCGGACAGTGCGGGACTCGAGAGGGACTTTGGTGCCCCCTGATGTTATCACAACCACCCTGCGACCCTCTGAGGCATGGTAATGGGCAAACTCAGTCATTCGTTCCTTCACTTCCTCAGCATGGGCGGGCACAGCAAACTCCTCAGCTAGTTTACCATCTATGTTTGGTTCTGCCATTGCCTAAAATCAGAAACAGTCATAAGGAAGAGGTGAGAATCAATTGTGCTAGTTATAGGTTTTGAAGGTACACTATGTAACTTTTGTGATCAAGGATATGCCACGACCATGTCTCAGAAGTGCTATTGCCTTGCACAGAATATTCTGTTCTGCAGTAATCCATTAAACTGATCTAGCTACATAAAGACAAGCAGGTGACGTCACCTGACCAAGGTTAAGATCTGCTCAGAGGCACAGCCGTTCACAGTAAGAATGCTTTCAAGGTTTTTTTTTTTTTTTTTTTTTTGCAATAGAACATGACTGAGGAAACTTCTAGGCAAAGCACCAACATCTCAGAGGAGACAAGCAGGTGGCAGACCCTCCATCAGAAAAATTACAAAGTGCACCTTTAAATAATAAATGTTTACTTCACAATAGATAGATCATATTTTCCAAGCTACCTCTTCATTGGTGAGCATATAAAAATACTGTCATAGAGTCAAGCAGTTTTGGAAAGTATGACTTAAATTCTTGCAGCAGTCTCTCTTATTTTTAGATTAAAAAAAAATTCACCATCACATTCATTTGGGCTCAAATGTTGAAACTACTGTGATAAACATTATATCACACATTTAACATTGTAAATTAGCCTTCGTTATTATTAACCAAGTGCAGAATAAAATTACACCTTAGTTCCACGATATTATATTAGATTTACATTTACAGATCCACTTTACCTTTGATTTAGTGTAGTGCAAAAACATGTGGTGAATGTAAACAAACCATGCGTATAACGTTACTCACTGATTGTCACACGTTTCCAGCAATATATCGAGATCAAATGCAATAAAAGGTAAAAAGCTGAGAACAAGTTTATCAGAATCAATCCACAAAAGCCACTACTAAGCTACTTTAGTCTCCTAAAAATTTCTGTCAAATTTTGTTCCAGTGTGTACTTCCTGGTTTTTGGACTTCTTCTGTGTTTCTGTGTCTGTGGTTCAGTGACCAAAGAGCGCCCACTAATGGTGCAACAAATAACTTACTTTTAACAAAGATTGGGTGTACTTTGTATGGATCTATTAAAATAACTTTGCTCCTAAATTCTACCTGGAAAAATACTTTCAATAAGCAAAAGAAATCAAAATAGACAAAATATGCAGTTTACACGTTATTTTTTAAAAGATTGGATATATGGTCACAAGTTCACATCACTATTTTAAATCCATATAGAAGAAGTGTTGAATAGTCCTTTGGATGTGCTTTGCTAAGGATGATTTCATAATAACCACTTCATCATTAGTATGTCTCTAAATAATAAATAAATAATAAATGTAAATTAAATACAGTTGTATTTAATGTCCACCAATAAGGGGCGCCGTTGCACTATACTATATTGATCGGGGTAAGCGACTGTTCTGCTGATAGTAGTACTGCACCCTCATCCCTCTGGACCCAAACCAATAGATCCATGACGACCTAAACTCATGCAAATATTCAACATTACAAATTATACACTTTTTGGATTTAAAAATAAATGAGATATACTAATACACACATTTTATAGGTCCTCTAGTTTGTGGTCCCACATGAATTTGTGGAATGTCCATCAGTATTTGGGTTGAATAGGTTATGTATGTATTTATTATATTTATTATATTTAGTCTATATATTTATTCACAGTAAAGTTACTTTTTGCAGAAGGCGACAAACTTTAGGAGACGCTCAGGTGAAAAATCATTAAATTGCCTACTTTATCTCTACTTAAGAATAAATCTTTTGAATTTGCACATAAACGTACACAAAAAAAGGGCTGACATACAGTCAATTTCACAGTATTTTTGAAACTTCAATATGTGTAATGTAGTTTCATACACATGAGTTATATTATGTGCAGATTCAAAATGACTTTTTAAAATTTTCCACACGGAAAATTGTTTGCATACATAAAACAGAATGAATATATTTTTTCTGGTCTTCTGAAATACTGACGGTCTAATATCAAAGTTAACCAGACTTTGGGAAGCGACCCAGAGTCCTAGTTTCTGTTGCGGCAGGGCCAGAGGTGCTGAGAGGGAAACAGAGGGAAACCTTTGGCGTGCGTCGTCCTTAGTGTATGAAAGTAGTTCCGGGCACTTAACCCAAACGAGGGAGAGTCCCGGATGTTGGCTGGGCCGCCGCCGAGAGAAAGGCGAAGTGAAGGCGGAGTGAGGCAGTGAGGAGCACGGCCACGGCACCAGCGGCACCAGCGGCAGCAGCAGCAGCAGCAGCAGCAGCAACAGCACCGCGGGAGGGCGAGCACACCGGCGAATCTGCGCGCAGCCTGGACCCTATCACCCCCGCCAGGGACACTCCAAGGAAACCTCCGCCGAGAAGCAGCTGGAATGAAGGGGAGGGGGCAAGCACTCTGAGAAAACTACCGTGAGGGATTTTTTTTACTCGGAGCCAGCGTCACGGCAGCAGCTTTCACCCAGAGTAAGTGCGCTACGCGGGCATGAAGTTGCACTAAGGGCCGTGAAATGGACGACTTTGACGGGGAAGTGAGTGCTACTGAAGTTGTGGGGATTGAGCCCCTGAAATAGGCCGTGGCGCACTGCTTTGCGCGCACTGACGGCTCTGGGGACATTTGAGCCAAGCGGTGTTTCCTTGTGCTCTGTATGTAGTCTGTGTGCGCTGGGGTTGCTGTGTAAAGTTGACAGCTGTGTTCTTGGTTAGCCTGCTAGCCCCGTGCCTGTGGAGCAACCGGTGACACCTGACAGGGCAACTTTGACAGCTAACTAGCCAGTTTTTTAGCCAGCTAACTTTAGCCGTGCGCTGGCCAGGGCTTCCCTTCTTGGATAGGACCAAGTATGAAGGTTTGTTTTGGCTTTGTAGCGTGGATATATTGACCAATCCCGCCCTTAAAGGCTATGGTTAGCTAGCTGTTTGGTATTTGAGACGTAGTGGCCAGCATGGAGTTTGTGTGTCATTTGGCTTTTCCTACGTGCGCGCTGGAGGTATTTTGACTGGCACAGCTGTTGCAGTGTGTTCGCTCGACTGTCAATCGCCCCGTTTCTCGAGCGCCTAGTAAATTCCTCTTTAAAATAACGATTCCGCCTATGCAAAAACAGAATAAGAAGGCGTGTGTGTACGACATGTGGACCGTCGGATTCAACAAGTGCTAAGCATGTTTGGTTAATTTGCTCTCGCATCATTGGTAGATTCTGGAGGTGTATGTTCCGTGCCCTGAAATGAGATGACACAAGCGGGTTTTTGTCATGAAGTATTTGCATCTCATCTTTGTTTGTACAACATATTAACAACTGAGTACTGTTAATGCTTTCGTAGTTGTGGCATTTGCAGACATTGCTCGTCACCCATACTACAGACCTAATTTGACGTACCAACTTAACGCATGGATTCAATATTATGGCACTTTTGAGTAGATTACTCCCCAGAACAACACTAGACCACGCTCGAACTCACAACATGCCCATAGCTTTAGTCAGCACCCACAATCAAAAGGTCGACCTGGTTTGGTCCTTAATCACTCATCCTTTAAATAGCTGGCATTCACTGGGCTGTCGGGATGAGGCTATTTGCTGCAACATAGCGGGCTAAAGATACTCCTGACCAATATCTATTTGTAGAGTTACTCAGTTTATAGAATATTTTAGACTGGAATGCACAATGATACAGCAAACGTAAACACGAAATAAAATTGTACATAATAATGCACATAATTGATTTTTAAAAGTCTATCTCAATTTACATGTAAAGCATTTCTTAACAGTATATTATGTTTACTTGTTAATGTCTAATGTTTTTTATATTTAACCTCCCCATAACACAATTTTTGGTCTTGACAAACCCTAATTAGTGCCTTTTTAATGTATCAAATCATATGCAATTGAACATCATTTGTACACTGTGGTTGTGTATTTTACAGTGGTGGTAACTTTTAGCTGTTTGTGGCTTCGCTGTTGAGGAATTGGCCTTGTGTGCACTGCAGCTGAGGCACCACAGATTGCATGCACAAATCTCAATCAGGGCACAATCAGTTCCTGTTTGTAGACAAGGGACATGCAGAAGTTTTATTAAAGTGGTAAATTCAAGTCGAAGTTTAAGATGTGATGACTCATTTAGTTTTGCACCTGAAAATGCCCTACACGATGTTTTATTGTGGTTTGAATAGATTAGATGATTAGATACATTTTTAATGGAATAAATTAAGGACAATTCTGTAAAAGTTAAGTAGTGTTGTCACAATATTAATTTCAAAATTGAAAATAATTAAAAGCACACTTTATTAAATCATAGTATTTTCTTTTATATTTCCATGTTGTCTTGTATCTGTGTAATCCCTCAGTTGTCCAGGTAGGTTTCATAATGGTCCATGAGCATATACTAGTCATATGCTTGAACTGTATCAGAACAAGATCATTCTAAAACTATTCAGGAAAGGTTCTTTCTATCCTGTGAGTGTGGCTTTTTTTAGTATCAATACCTGCTCAAATGAGTATCTAGTTTTGATAAAAATGAGTACCAAAAGCATTACACCTTTACTTTACTATTAGATTTTTCATTAAAACCTCCGCACTCTTTCATTGTGAGACAGGATCAGTGCCTTGGCAGAGGTCTTTGCTCTATTCATGATTCTTGTTTTCATTTTTCCTCTTTGTTGCCATTTGTATAATTTATTTTTTTGTTATTATTTAAAAACCTGCCTTTTTCACCGAGCAGTTACTTAGTGCCTCTCTTTTGTTAAACAGGGTGGTGAATGAACTAAACGGGAGCGAAGATTACACATCTGCTTATTCTCACAGAAAGCATTTACAAAGTGTGAATGGGAGGATGTGATACAGAAGTCTTTAATGGTGGTTTTTAGCCTGCAGTGCTCTTTGTGAAGTCTATTGCTTAATGTTTTCAAAGCATGACACCTTCTCTTCCAAGGTCTCCACGTGCTGAGTGTGTGTGAATGTCTGGTGGCAAATAACGTATTGTACTCTGTAGAAAATAGTTCACTTTTATATCTGTAACGCAGTGTTTACAATAAGTGCTACCACAAATCAGTTGGACCAAAGTGACGTGGTTTAACCCCTCTCTATGAAAACAAGCAAGTACAAGAAAAGTTATGTTGTTACAAAATGTATGTTGTACAGTTTGTACTCTGAAAACTTTCATTATAAATTATTGATTTAAAAATATCTATAGGATACAGCAGTAAACGGATCTAGTTTAAAGCCCCAGTATGTAATTTTCTGGTGGTGGAAAGCAAACTACATGATTCTGTGGAAATAGAAAGTTCAAACCATATTCTCTGTGGATATGTTTTAAGCCATACTGTGGAATATTATAGCCAAAGGAATGATGAATGCAGTTAACAAATCATAAAAGCTGCTTTCAAATTTCCTCAACAAACAACCAAATCTCTTGTTTTATTTTGCATAAAAACTACTAACACTGTAGTTTAGATCTGTACAAACATGTTCTATGGGTGATTCTTGTATTATCTTGTCAATTAGTTAAATTTCCAATATTATACTTTATTATACTATACCTGTCATTACTATGTCAGCAAATGACAAATCATAATTCCATTGTAATCATCATATTATCAGCAAGGCAGCGGCTGAGGGTCAAGAATGAATTTTGAGCAAACCTTTAATACCTGTGTCTCATTTTGTATTCAGCGTGTGGCCCTGTGGCGAGTCCAGTCTCTCCCAGAGCCTCTTTAATTTGTCCCTTTCTTGAAGTGATTATTCAAATGGTAGCCGTGGAGATGCAGTTATCGGACTCCTGTGGTCGTTGGGCCTGTGGCAACATGAATGTACATCGAAAAACCCTTTACCCCCTCCCACCCCCCCACTAGTCATTATACTGTGGAGTTGGATAAGGCCCAACAGGTAACAGGGCAACCAGGTTTTAGCCGAAGGGCAGGACATCATTGTTCTGAAGGGATAGCAGGTGGATCGAATTTGTGAGCATAGCAAGTTGACCTGTGATTTTGGGTGTGCTATGGTAAACCTCAGTTTTTGAAGATGTACAAGATGTCCTTTTGTGCTTTTGTGCTGGTCTTAAAATATGGAAAACCAAAACTAGTTAATTTTTCAACAGTTTGTAGTCGACCAAAGTTAGTCCTCACTTCCCAAAAGCCTTCCTAGTATCCTAATTGTTCACTGCAATGAGCCTTTTTCAGAACTTACAGAGACCAGAACAGCGTTTTGCCATCACAGTAACCCTATCAACATCTAGCATGCTAATAGCACACTAAAATGTTTTATAATTAGATGCAGACAGCATAGTCAGCAATCTTAATTTAACCATACTCTCACAATCTATCTACTGGGGCATTTTTATGAAAAGAATCAAGTACAATCCCTTTAATCATTTATTGCTAGTAGAGTAAACTATTAGTCATTTTTAAAATGCCAGAAAAAAATCAATATTTGATGAGAGTTTTTTAATTGGTCAAAGTTTGTTACTGCCAGTCTAGCCTGAGATCCCCGGGTTACGTAGAATGTGAAGCACTAAGGTGTGTGAGTAATTAGTTCGTACCATTGTTGAATAAATAATTGTGGAAAGACTGATCATACATCATTTTGGAACATCATAACTAGGCTGAGTGCTATTCAAGTCCTGCCCATGCAACTCAGTAATTCCTTAAGTCTTCAGTCTAACTAAAAAGTTGTTATAATTGTTTTATATATAACAATTGAACAGACAGACACAATAAGACTGATTGATTGCTGAGAAGTTTCTGTAACAACTGTTCAAGTGTTTTGCATTACTACTATACTGTACTCCTTTTTAATAATAAACTTGAATGGACTAAATTAGCCTAAATCTGTGGAAAATTTGTAAATGGTCATATTTTTATATAGTGCTTTCCCACCTTTAAGACACTCAAAGCACTTTAAATCAAGGAACCAGTCATCCATTCACGCACACATTCAAACACCACCATGCTCATACACTGGGGGTGATGGAAGAAATGTCATGCTCAAGGACACAATAACAGCATTCATCTGTGGTGGCTGGAATCGCACCACCAACCTGTGTGTCAGTGGATCTGACCGCTCAACCAATGATGTTTATGTCAAGAGTAGGGCTGTGTAATTAATTTTCAAATGTCTAACAGTCTTTATGAATGGACCTAAAATTGGACTAAACCAGAACATTTCTCTCTCCTCTGCTCTCTATGCTCCCTCAGTGCTGCTCCACAAAAAACCTATGTAGTATGTCAAACCTTAGCCTTGGTCTTTTTTTATTATTTTCTGCTGTGCATCTTAGTGAATGCAGATGAACCTTACAGACCTATTCATCGTCTGGAAATGCCTCCCTGATTCCAATTTGAGCTGTGTTTGGCGTCACATAGTGCTAGGCCCCTCTGCCATGTTAAGGCCTCTTTATGTGCCCGATCAGAAGGGGATAATTGCACTTAAGTGAACCTCATTTAGAGCCGGCCGGAGCAATTACTGTAAGCGCACTTCCAGGCATTCTTCTGCCTTGGCTGTCATTGATTCACGGTGTCTTCCATATCAAACCGTGAATAGGATGACATTGGTGCACCATCATGGGACTGACAGATCCTTGGACGGAGTTTAATTAGTTTTTTTCCTCCCTAGAACGAGGCACTATTTTCAGAAAATAATTAAGAATGACAAATAGAAATTAATTTATTTTGAATCATTAAAGGTGCACTGTGTAATTTTTCTGGTGGATACATCACCTGCTTGTCTCTATGGAGATCTTATTACTTTGTCTAGAAAGTTCCACAGTTTAGCATTGTGTGTCTTCATGGAGATTAGCAGGAGGCACCAACAGGCCAAGTTATAGGTCAGATCTCTGGAGAGGAGACTTGCTTTAAGTAAGGGTGTATGTTTTTCAAGGCATTTTTGAACAATAAAACACCTGTAATGAAATACATGCAAAACAGACAAGTTTAATGCCCAACTGTGTAGGGCTGGGAATCATTAAGAAGTTGCCGATATGATACATGTCTCGATACAGAGGCCATGAGACAATACATATCTTGATACAGTGAGCTTTTGATTCAATATGATAAATTTCAAGTTATTTCAATGTGGTTCAATAAAAAATATGGCTAAATCATCATGGCTGTCACACTAAAAATCTTTGTTAAACCACTTCTTGTGCAAACTTAATATGAAACACACCCATTTTAATTATCAGAATAGTGAATATGTCAAATGTGTTGCATAAATGAGTTTCCTTCCTCTAAACAAGCAACAAAACTGTAGTACTATAATCAAATAATTTTGTAAAATAAAAAAAAAATACTCTTGGCAATATATTGCGATATAAACTATACCATATGTCGATATTTTTGCACACCCCTAATACTGTGGAACATTCCAAGCTAAACAACTGCTCCATAGACAAAAGCAGATTATGGACCCCCTACCAGAAAAATTCCATAGTGCACCTTTAAAAGAATGCTGTCAGTGTGGTTGATGGTGGGAAAATACATTTCTTCAGGCAAAACTCCACTGCTCCATGCACTGTTTGTCACTTTGTCTCTGCTCTTCAGATAGGGCTGGACGATATGCCAAAAATATTCATACCACAAAGTTCACTCTTCACTGTGTTACATTCACTTGGAATATAACAGGGACTGGCCAATAAGGACGACGAGTGGGCGTACAGCTGCATTAAACAAAAGCAGTGAATCATTATATGACCAAACTAGCATATTTTAAACAGGTGTATTTGAAAATAAAGTCCTTCACTCGCTTCAACCTTTTTTGTTTTTCTGTCAAGCCCCTTTATCAAACCATAATTAAAAAAGACAATCACAACCTCATTCTCTTAGGCAGGCGTCAAGGTGGTTTAAGGTGAAAAAGGAAGCATTTCCCCAGGCGAATCCCCTGGAGCCTGAAGGAGATGTTTTATCATTAATGTTATTCTGGAGCTCAAATTTAGAGTTTTCGCTCAGCTGGGTGCTTTAATCTATTTTTTGCTGTAAATTAATGAATTTTTAAAGAGGCGCTTGCTACATACGGCTAGATGCGGGGAAAGCAACAGCCACGGTTCGGTTTTCAAATCAACTTCCATAAAACCACCCCCCCTTTCTCCTTCTCTCCTCCTTCCCTCCCTCTTTCTCTATCGTTCCCTCTCTCTTGCGAATTTAGCTTTTCATTTCTTATTCAGCGGCTTCTTTCGCTTGCCCTATACCTCATGCTATACGTCGATTGTGTTGAACTTGTGTGTACACTTGAGATTTACATACATGGATTAGTAAAGAGTTCTGATGTTTAATCCATTTGGCTTGTTGCCGTACAGATATTTTCTCATATGTGCTACTAAAGTCCTAATCTATTTATTGCTTATATTAAGGAGCTCGCAAACTAATACTAAAATTAGCAGTGCATTTTGAGAAATTCTGTCAAAATTTTGACAAAGTGAAATCATTACTATATACAGTAGTACACCCTTTTTTGTATATCACACTGCAAGTTTATGCTCTTTCATTTTTAATCATCACATCCTCTTTACAAGGGTTGTACCGGTAAGATTAGTTTAGTCCCAGTACACATATGTAAAAGCAGCTCAAAGTGAGACCACTGTGTGCTGTAATTTTAAGCGTCCTATATTACGCAAAATTGACTCTTGTGAGCATTAAGCTTCAAAAACGTACCTGGAGTTGTGTTTTTTAGGGACATAACAATAACCGAAATATTGTGATATCGTCAAAGTTCTCACAATAATATCATGGACCATCACAATATATCGAGTTACAAGTCTCTTTGCTTAAATGAAGAGTTATGGTGCAGCAATAGCTAAAAAAAAAAGACAGAGGGAACTACATAGACCACGATCCTTTGCTCCATTTCAGTGTAGACTACAAGAAGAAATAACAGTTCTAAGCACTTTTAAATCTTAGTTCTTTGGAAGAGGAAAAAGGAGCATATTAACAGTTTTGTTTTCCTCCACAAAATATTGCAATAAATATTGTACAGCTAGATGCATATCATGAAAATATCGTACAGAGAGCTTTGGATATTGTTATGTCCCTAATCGTGAGGCTCCCCACCATATCGTAAGCTTTCACACGATATCGCAACAAATATCGTACCATGAGGTTCATACCGTGAGGATATCTTATCGTGAGACTTGGATATCATTACACCTGTAGAGTTTTTTTCATTGACACATTGACTAATCTTTTATTATTAATCGATCTATGTCTCCAAAATGCTCTTTTTCAAGTTAACAGCTACTTTTTACCTTTTTGTTCAGTAGAGATTGGAAATTCCTGGACTGAAATAATCCAAATGGCTGTAGTGAAGGTGTATGGAGTTCAAAAAGACAGCGGAGCACTTCCTGTATTACCACATGACATCACAAGTGGAGTGTTTTTTGTTTGAAAGAAGAACTGCAGGGTTTGTGTGTTAAACATGTGAATGAAACAAACCACAACTCTGTGTGAGTATGTTTGTGATGAGGAAATGATATTATAACATAGATCAGAACATAGTGTAACACCGGCCCTTTTAAAGCATTTTTATCGCCCGTGAATCAGAAAGTACTGCTGGTGTGCTGTTAGCATGCTAGTTGCTGTTATCTTGCAGAAAAACATGCTTACAAACTCATCATGGTGAATCATTAGGATGCTAAGAATGAGTTAGGAAGGTGAGAAATAAGTTTGTATGGCTGCAAACTATTTAAAATGCATCTAGTTTGGTTTTTCATGTTTTTTTAAAGACTGGTATAGCGTCTCGAAACTGCTTCAAAAACGACAATCGCAATATTATCCATTTTTTAACGTCTTCCCACTTCTTCTCTCATTCTGACTAATATAGGTCCCTCTGTGTCTCTACAGGGAAACTGCTGTGTACCTAAAACTCCAGAGTTCAGAAAGTGAAGGGGAAAAATGTGCGAGGCGGGGGGTAGGTTCCTCTGACTCATACCATCCTCTTGCGGTAGCATAAAGGCCAATAAATCGTCAGAGCAGCCTGTTGAAAGTTGACTTGATCGCACGCCTGAATATTTTCATTTGTGAAAAAATAATAGTGCGGTTGCATGTGATATATGTGGTGTTTTCAAGCCATAACTTTGCCGTAGTAAATTGTAATGAGAGACTTCACTTTAAGCACTTAATGTGTTGCTTAGTGAGGAGCAGCCATAGAAATAAAGTCAAAATATGGAGCGTGATTTCACTTGTGCTAATGAGAGCTACAGTTTGTATTGCTGCTTTGGAAGTTAGAGTCAACTAAAGATATTGCAGGCTTTGACCATTTTTAACTGTTTTCCTGGATCCATGCTTGAGGAAAGACATCTGAGGCATTTTTTCTCTAAATTGTGCTTTTGATACTAAACCAAGGTTCCGATACCACAGTGAGGATAAAACAATATTTTCCTGGACAACAGAATGCAATTGAACTATTCAGGAAATATCCAATTTTGTCCAGTGTATGTGATTTGTTTATTTTTCATCTTTTATCTTTTTATACTAGCTTTACTATTGTATTGTAGCCTGTTATTTTTTTCTACAATCATTGGTAAAGTTCAACTCGGAATAAGTAGAAGTTGTATTAAAATTTATTGAATTATGTATGATTTGCATGTCCCGAGCCTGCTTCTGCCATTATATGTCATATCAGAACTAACACTGGATTTTTGATGTGACAATGACATGATATTTGTTGCTTCTATGTTGGTGTCTCATTTGTGCAAACCAAGACAGACTAACAAATTGGTCTACAAGTTGCAAACTTTTATGCAAATTAATGAAGTTTAAAGTTTATAGGCTTGCAAATCAGGCTCTTTTATTGCTAACCTACGGCTTGCAGCTATTTTTAACAACACTTAAATCACACTCGATGAGCTCCCTAACATTAAAACTGCCTAGACACTTACAATGACAAGTTACATATCAATATGACAATAGGCAGGTGAGATTACTCAGAAAAAATCTAAACTGAAAAAGTACACTAAACGTTTTCTATTTTATCTTTTTTTTTTTTTTTTTTTAGCCTCTTAAAATATATTTTTTGTTACCTGACAATGAGACTAAATCATTTAATTTAATCTAATATTTCATAGAGGGCTTAATATTTCTTATAGTGTAATGCCTCAGGAGTCCAGGAGTGGTTCAGTGTAGAGGAGGTTTCAACTGTCAACGGTCATCTGGACACTGTTTTTTGCAACAACAGTGTTCAGATGAGCGCCAAATGAAACTTTACTCTTTACTCTACTCTTATATTATAACCACAAAATTAACAACTTCTTCATAATGGATTAAATGGATGATGCCTAGTTATGCCATTATCCATTTTGAATAGATCCTTTATCACTACTTCTCTTTATTGTCACTCACATATTGTCACGTTAAATCATTACAGCTATTAATGTCTAGACTTGTCACGATAACAGATTTTGAAATTTGATATATTGCTGAGGTAAATAAGATGATAAATGATAATATTGAAACTAATTTATGCCACAAAAGCAATTCTAAATGTACAATATTATTTAAAAAATCATGAGCTGCAATAAATAAATGGAACACTTTCGTACTTTGTTTGCATCTGTAATGAATTTGAAGTTATTAATTCAACCCTTTATGGCTTAAATCTTATCATAGCCCAAAATAAAAAAAAACAAAAACGTTCCATTAGTGCAAAGAAAATGTACACACAAAATAAATAGTCACCCGCAAAAAAAATACTGTCCCAGCTTTCATATATTGAACAGTAAGGCAATATTGTAATGATCATAACAGACCTATTACCAGCCCATTGATTTTTACTTGCCATCATAACCCTGAGACATTTGACCAGCCCTGCACTGGCCAACAGGACCTTTGCCTTTTAGCTTCTCCTTTTGTTGGCGTCTGCAGACAGTGGCGGTGTGGGCTGCTCCAGAAATAGCAGCGCTCACGTAGAATTTGTCGGCTGTGTGTGATGTGGTGCGTGAGGCTCATGATCCGCTCGGGCCAAAGCCAACTTCTGCAGATGTGGTTTGGGTTGGAGCAGTGGGCTTTGATGGATCTCTTCAACTCTGATTCTTTTTTTTTTCACTCTTTCTACAAACCTCTCATCTGCTCCTCGCTGTCCTTTTGCAGATTCAGCACAAACATAGATCCCACTGACTAATTTGTCTGTTGTCAAGCCTGAAGAAAGGCTTTTGCAAGTAATTTGGGGAGTCTATACTCGTATATCTTATAGTAAGTCAATTATGGTGTAATGTCTTTAACTGGTGTTTCCCATGCAAGTTTTGTTTCTACCAAATGTTAACTGTTAATCTATTGCTGAAAAGGGGTGTAACAATATGGAAGACTCACGATATGATATCATCACGGTATGAACCTCACAAGTACAATATTTATTTCTATATTGTGGGAAAGCTCAAGATATGGTGGGCTTAAGCTATTACGATATTATACATAATAACAAGACTGACATTATAAAATGCTTTGACCATTGTCATTTGGTATAACATTTATTGTCATATTCCTATCAATGCCATTTTGAACAGCTTTGAAGTTGAAGTACAAAATCCAAGTAACAGCTAAACAATTGTAATAAAACTGTAGTCTGGCGCCTTGCAGAGTAAGTCTGACAGAAGTTGACCACATCAGCGCACACGTTTTTTTCAGTGCTTATGCAAATTAGCCATGTGACTTTAAGTTTTGTTTGTTTTACGGAAATGCACAAAGCTGCTTTAAACACATTATTACTCAATGTATATTCCAGTCCTCCTCATAGGAAATAAAAAACAAACTTAAATGCAATGGCATTTTATATTTCAGTTCCAATTTAGCCACAAACCTTTTAAACCCAACGCCGTCCACCACGGAAAATGGATGCAAATCACTCGCTATATATTCTGTGATGTATTTCGTTATTTCTTGAGTGCTGTTGTGAGGCAGTGATGTTGTAAATGCTTCACGTATAGTTTTTTTGTCTTGACTTGATTTTCTGAAGGTGTACCGCATAGTGCATTGGCAGTCTTTGCATACTATCTGTTGTTTGTCTGTCACCTTTTCTCCTTTCTCATTTCGTGTCACAACAAACCCAAAATGCTTTTAGACCTCAGACTTAAAAGCAGCTGGTACGTTCACAACAGGCGCACTGGCTGATGACGCGGCCTCAAAGGATTATGGTCCATGTAGTTAACTGTGCTTTGCGCCACCGGAGCGGACAGAAAATTCTTATTTTTGCCTAAAGACACACAGTTTAACACCGTGATGAGACCACAACGTTATTTATGGTAATTTTACTACGACAATATCATTATATCGCCAATATGGTTACACCCCTATTGCTGAGTATTTATAGAATATTTATAGTTTTGTTTTGTTTTTTTATCTCTTTTTTCAAAACTTGTGTCTGCTTCAGTGTTTAATAGTGAATGCAGGAACTCAGTGGTTAGAGCCTCTGCCAACAAACTCGAAGGTTTAGCTCCAACCTGGACTATTTATCAATGTGGTATAAAGTGAGGTCCCCAAATGGAACTTTGTCCTCTGCATTTGACTCACCTGTCAGTGCTACCAGGACAACTTCCAGATCTTGAGCTGACAGGGTTGGTTAGGACCAGTGTTGGGAGTAACGCATTATAAAAGTAATGTATTACAGTTGATTTTTGCTGTAACGCAGTAATGTAAGGCATTACAGGGGAAACATTTTTTATATTTTACTTGGTACAAATGTGAGGAACGTGCGTTACAATGCTTTTTTAACCTGGATTGAAGTGGTGGGTTTTTCTTCATAGAAATTCGCTAAAATCAGCAGCGGGCGAAAGGACCGACCCAGAACTCTACGCTGTTTAGATCTGGTTTAGACCTGGGTCACTTCTGGTTTAGACCTGGTTTACAGTCGTCCCTCGCTCTAACGCGGTTCACTTTTCACGGTCTCGCTGTTTCAGTACAGAATGTGTTCAGCTGCCAAATTTAAATACATGTTCAATCTGTATCAGTGTGATTCTGAAGTGCTGTATTTCTGCAAGTTTTCTCTCCGACAAAATCCACAACGTCGACGAAACGTTCTGCACTGACAAAGGCTCCTGCACTCGCACCCAAAAGACAGAGGACGATGCAAACCATCGCACAAAAAGTTGGACTTCTGGACACGTTGAAGGAAGGTAGAAGTTACGCGCTGTAACAGAATCTTGCACCGGGTCTTGTACCCGCAAATAGTTGCTGAAATCAGGGCTGCGAGCCCGAGCGGCAGGGTGTCCATAAAGAGCGATCGGGCGACAGCCGCTCTTACCTCCATGAGGTGTGGAGCAGAGCCGCTCCTTTCTCCTGCGGTCACCTTCGAGCCCGTCCCGACAGCGAGTCCTGTTTTAGTCCTAGTTCAGTTCTGGTTTAGTCCTCCTCTTCAGTCCTGGAATCAGTCTGAGGTTAGTCCTGTTATAGTCCTGGTTTAGTCCTGGTTCAGCTCTGGTTTAGTCCTCGTTTAGACCTGGTTTAGTCCTGGTTCAGTCCATATACAACTCAAAAGTTCAGCTTTTTTGCAGTTATTTTGGTGAGAGTAACTTAAAGTAATGCAATAGTAATGTAATGCCTTACATTTTAAATACAGTAATATTGTAATGTAACGAATTACTTTGAAATGACAGTAATAAGTAATAAATAACACATTACAGTTTTAAAGTAACTTGCCCAACAGTGGTCAGGACTACCTTATCTGGCAGTGATTAGTGGTGGTCAGAGGGGCTATTGGTGCAGATTGAATCATAAGTCTACCACCAGGGTTAATCATTTTATCTATATCATATATTTCCTCAACACAATATTATTAGTCCAGTTGACCAAATAATATTGTTTTGAGTATTTTAAAAGCTGCATAAGTAAAAACTTAATTTGGCATAGTATTTAAATGCAACATTATAAATTCTCTTTTCTACAACTTCGACTCACAAACACAGCTCCTGTCCAAACGCC